TATTATATAATATAAATTAAATCTAAAAATAATGAAACAATTGACTTGAAGATATTTTAACATCTCTATACTAAATTATACCTAAAGCGTGCTATATTATACTGCAGAGGGGACTTGGAGAAAAAAAGCCGATAAGTTATGCTATAGTAAGCTGCCGAGGAAGAATTATGCTTAGCGTCTTGGCATGATTTATGCTATGCAAAAGTTGGACCATTTCAGCTGTACCCAAAGAAATCGACTGGAGACCATTAATCCCTCATGCCAGTATTGTGCATTGCAGGTCAAGGTTGACGACATACATATGCACACGCAGACTGCAATAGAGCATTTAAACCCTTTGGGTAGGTGTTGCCGGCAAGGCGAGGGACAATTGGAAGTGCTTCATTGTCAAGTTTCGCGAGAACCTCGGTATTTGCCTATCTTTCTGATACGAAGTATCTTTCTTGAAAAGAATTATATACTTCCATTTTCAAGCCGGTGGGTGGTCAGAAGTTGTATCCTATGTTTCGAGAGGAGCAGTTAGTTCATAGTCTCACTCAGTTCACCGCTCCGCCTTTGCCTCTAGAAAGTATTATGGGTTATTCCACCAGCTAGCAGCACTACAGTACTGTATGTACCAACCGCCGAAGCCATCCAGAGATATCACCGAGGTGTGTTGCAGCTGAGTGGACAAAGCCAAAATACAGCTTGTTCTCGGACTCTCGGGCAAGTAGACTCCTGAGTCGTGCAGCCAAGGGGACATGACACGTCGGATGGGAAGAGAGGGGCTTGTGAAAGATGAATGTCCATGAATGTGGGGTACATCTGCAGTACATCTGGCGGTCAGGATGAAAGGATGGCAGTAGTCTGCATGTGCAGTTCTCACGTCTGCCATTGGACGCTATTTGGATTCCGGGTAAAAAGGGGACGATTTACAAGTTACAGCTCATGCACGACGAGATGTACCTCCGTACGTGCTTTCAGCTGCAGCGCTACGGTATGTGCAACATGATCTTGTGTACAGATCGTTATCATTTTTTGGGTGGCTTTTGATAGAGATTTACGGGACGGTTGGGGTGATGGGTAAAAGAAGGATGAAGGCATGGCGAGGCAAATGGCGAGACAGTTGAACGGGGCAACTCGGACAACTCCCACAAAATGGTGGATAAACATGTTTCACGACACCCCGCATCGAGTACTGAAGCCTCGAGTACTGTACTGTACTTATCAACAATTCCACTGTTTACTGTAGCGCAGATGATCTGGTGGATGGGGTGGACCGTGTGGTGTGGTGGGAATCGTGGGTGATCACGGAACCCAGAATAAAATGCGGGAACTCTGAAGATAGTTTCATTGCCGCGGTTAGCACCTGGAATACGTCAGATATACGATACGGTTAGCTACGGTACGGTACGACAGGTTAACGGTATTAGACGCAGCAGCACCACATCTTCGTACGGCATACCTAGACCTAGGTACGGTACGAGGACCGTAAGGTATGCTGAGCTAAGAAACGGGTAAAAGAGGCTTTGATGAGAGGGAACGGTGAGGGAGGGGGGAGGAGAAGAGAGGAGAGGAGAGGAGGGGAGAGGAGAGAAGACAAAGCAGAGGTCCGATAACAGGAACACTACTGTACTGTACTATAGATTCAGAAGAGGAGATTACGCAGTATTGTACAAGTAGTTGTAAATTTAAAAGTAGATGAAAATGTTTGCAGCGGTGAAATCCTCGACTAGTTTCTCTCAGCCGTGCTCCCGTACCAGTATTATTTTTCTCTTTGTCATTCATATCACTAGCAAGAAAGAGACCGAAGCGAACCCGGGGCGTGGATCAGCCGCCAGGAGCAGTGCAGTATAGTACAGGGCAAGGCAAGCACGGTCACGGTGCAGCGGCAGACTAACCCCTCCCCTCCCAAAAAGCTTTTCCCACCCACATTCCCAGTCCATTATTTTCCCGTACAACACAACACAACATAACACAACCACACCTCGCCTCACCTCACCCACCTTAGGACACACAACAAAAACCCTCTTGGACGTGGACTCAACGCCCCAAAAGCAAACAGGTCGCCTCCGACGGACGCCTGGTTGCTCGTACGCTGTGCTGTGCTGTCTTACTTCGCCTCGCCCCAATTACGAGATTTTCCTTAGTTCTTCTGCCCATAGGGCGTTGGCCAAGGACAATTGCCGGCTTGGCTCTGTACGAGACGACTTCCTCAACATCCTCCAAACAAACCTTCAAGCTACTTGGTACACCTCAAGCTTCACCTGAACTACCGCAGTCCAGTTTCGAACTCAGTCGCGTCTTCTTCTTCTTTGCGAAGTACATTTGGATCCTTCTTTCACATTCAACATGCCGGTTTTGCGATTATAGCATAATAGTCCTTAGGGACGCCTTCTACCTCGACTTTTTGCCTGCTGTCAGGCACTTTACAGCAGTCCTACCCCTTGGTAGGCCCGTCCAGATTCTTTAATCGATTTTTGACACCTTTTCGAGAGTGCCACAGACGCTTTTCAATAACACATTCTACGTCACGTTCCGACTTTCGCAGTTCGCCACATACGGGGAATATCCATAATAATTCACTTCGCCCTTAATACCACCTACGAGCACCGTGCAATTACTCAATTGAGGTCGCTTCTTTTTTACACACGAACTGCCACTTCACAATCGAAACACGATGGGTCTGCAAGACCTTTTACACAACTGGCGGTCCCATACCGTTGCGAGCACATCGGCAGTAGTTTCCGAAGAAGAACTTGCAGCAGACGTCGATGAACCCCCGGATCATCGTTCCAAGCAGTATCAGCAAGCAGACTTTTATAAATCAACTGTTCAGTCCCAGGGTGTACGCAAGGAATCCCTCATTACCAAGGGACTCCATAAGGATCCCGAGAAAGAAACATCTAAACCAGAGGTTCAGGTCACGACTGACCTTTCTCGTCGACGATCGATGATAAGCAATGCTAGTGTAACCTCGACGGCTGAACTCACCAGCGATGGAGATCTCACAAGTCCCGCCCGTACCAATACGCCTAGCCCCCCACCACCAAACTATACTAGCTTTGCTCCATATTCCTTCGGCCCCAAACTCACGAACCCAGCATCACTAATGGTGGGAAGAGTCAAAATCAAAGACGAAGCTCATGCCGCCGAATATCTAAGTTTGTCACCTAAGGCTTTACCTCCAGCAACCGCCCCGCCAAAGCAGCGTGGAGTTTCATTTCAGTGTGGGAAGATGACCCAAAAGCCAACCCCTCCGGTCGTGGTTGCACCTGCGCCAGTCACGCCCGCCGAGCCCCCAAAACCGCGTACCTGCAAGATCAAGTTCGCATGTGCAATGAAACCCTCAGAAGAGAGAATAGCCAATTCTCAAACGGAGAATACTTCGGATCTAAAAGTCACTGATGCCCAGAAGCAAATTACGAGCCGGCCGACTTTAAGCCCTAGGAAGTCCCCTCGTCTCACAACCCGATCCTCACCAAGACCACACCGAGATTCCTCGTCTACTGTGAGACGAGCGTCACAAAGTCCTCAGGCTCTTCGGGTGAAGCCCAAATACATCAATGCTGATGAGCAGACCTTGAAATCCTCGGAGGCAACTCGATTTCACGAGTTTGCGAGTGGAGAAGTACAGGAGGACGATTGGATTCGTAGAGATGCTGAGAATCCAAAAGCAAAGCTTACCATCAATGATACACTCAAGATGGAGAATGCTATTCGGAAACTTGGAAATGAGGTTGAAGAAGAGGCACTGGAAGAGGATGAGGAAGAAGAAGCTGAAGAAGAAGAAGAAGATGAAGCAGTCAACTATTCCGATGATGACGATGGCTTTGGTGAGGAAGACGACGATGATTTTGGGTCAGACGATGGCTCAGACGATGGGTCTGATGGCAACGAAACCGACAATGAAGCTGGATTTGCCGAATCTGATGAGAGTGATGTAGAAGGGGAGTTCGCATTTTGGACCCCCGGTCGGAATATCGCACTGTCACACGCAGACGCCTCTACCTACCGTGCATCTGCTCACCGAGCGGCATCTGCATCTTCTATCGACTCGCTTGGTCACTTGGATTCTGTTTTGGGTCCGAAAGGAGCGAGGAAGCCAAGACGTCGGCCAATCAGAATTCGTCCTGGTACTCCAGAGTTACCTGATAGTACTGACTTTGTATGTGGCACTCTCGATGAGGATAGACCTATCGAGAACGCATATATATCATGTATGGAAGCTAGAAAGAACGCTAAGCATAAGCGGACTCCACAAGATATAGATCCCAGCTTCCCTACGTCCGATCTAGACGACGAAGAAGATGACGAAGATCTTGTGGAAGGTGCCAACGAAAGCGACGAGCAAGTCTGGCTTCACGGGAACTTCGAAGAATCAGACCACGAAGGTGATCGACGCCGGACTGCTGCATCCAAACGCAAATCACCACTTCATTCGCCAAAGAGACTTCACTCCCCGCCTCCACCGCGACGATTGCATTCTCCACCACCTCCAAGACAGCGCCTTCGCTCACCCCCACCTCGTAAACTCTTCGGCCACTCACCCAAGCGTATGCGCTCTCCTCCGCCTGCTCGAGGCATCCGTTCTCCAGCTGCCTCTCCAACCACACAAGACAGTAAAGCCATCAACTTCGCGCCACTTGCACAGCGACCTGGACTCACACACACAAAATCACTTCCACGTGCCCCAAACGCATTTGGTCGTCAATATCGAGCCTCTCGCATCGCAGCTGCCAATGGCCATGATGGTAGTGATTCTGCCGACGGTCATGTCCGTGGTGCTATCGCCATTGTCAAGGGCCTTGAGAGGAAGCGCCAACGTCGCAAGGAGAAGTTCCAGTGCAAAGGACGAAAGCATCATTCGGAACGCAAGCCTCAACCCGGAAAAGGCGCAGAGCGAATGCGTGAACTCGGACTCCTGATGGCCGGAAAGACCGGCGTGCAGAATCCATATATGATGTCTGCTTAGACTCGCCAACAGAGTCTTCGGAGACTCGGGTGTTGAGATGTTCTCACTCACCCCTTATAATACACTACAAATCCGACTTTAGTTCATTTGTACATACTTCGATTCTATTACCCATCGGCTCGTCTTATCCATAGATATAGGGCATCGGCGATGCGGACCTTTGTATATACCACCTTCTTTCCTATGTTACAGATCATTGTTGGGTTCACCGGCGGGTGTAACCATATGAATCTTCTTGCATCATTCTCCATTTGGTCATTCTTATTTGGACCCCTTTACGGAGCATAGCATAGCGGGCAGCATACCAGGGAACCAGGGGAATAACCAACTCGAGATTGTTATTGGGCGGGTCGGTCGCTTTATGGCGAAGGATGAGCTAGGGTATACATACCTTCATTCCTGCTTCGTGACTTTCATAGCGTCATTTTATTCAATGATGAAGCTCTTTGCCTCATAATCTTGCATTTACATGATCTTGTGATGTGATGTGATGCATATCCTTGGCCATGGCCCTGTCATACATCTCCCAGTCAAACTCCTTGCCTCTGCCATACCAAGCTGCTGCGAAGCAGAAGTTGAAAAATGGTTCTGATTACACAAATCGTCATCTTTAGGTGTTGTCGCAATATATTGGTAACAATGACACAACACAACATACCTTGCCGCCTAAGAGGTACGCGGTTTTCAGAAGGATACATCGCCGCGTCTACTTGGAGTTGCACACACAATTCATTGCCTCGTAGTAAGCGGACACGTGAGTTTATAGACATAGATCACCATGACAATAATCAAGTGCAGGCAATAAACAGTAGTCCGAAACGTAAATTGGATAAAGAAGTTGAAGTTGTTTTCACCGACCGGAATACCGACCCTCCCTAAAGAACAAGAATAATTAGCGCAAAGATGGAAATTTAGGCGTATACCTAAGAGGCTTCTAGTAATATACCAAAGGCACGAATGGTCTGTCTATTCTGGCAATATAATGGGGGGGGATTACTGTTGTGATAGCCATGATCTGTGATTTTTCTGTTAAGAGTAGATGTTGCAGTAAAGGGAACCTCTCCCATGTCATGCCAGGTTATATATTATAATGATACTTGCAACATCTAACAAAAACTCATGAAACTTCAAGGGGCAAGTTAGACGTTTTCAAACTTCTGTAAACGCGCTTATCTGTTGGATACAAGTATGACAGTAACGTGTTCCTAGCAAAATCACCTTTCATATTCGAACCTACTTTAGGACTAGCGTGGTAGCCCAGATTAACTGCTGTCCAGATCTCGGACTTGGCAGGTCCTCCTCAAAATAATTGCCAGTCCTAACAAGTTTTCTCATACAAACCGAATACTCAACCTCAACTGTCTTCTCACAAACAAGCATCTAAGATGTGGATTGTCAACTGGTGTAAGTAGACCCTCTGGGAAGACTGCGAAGCCGAGGGGGAGACTCTTCGAAGGATAACATGCTGACATTCTCTTTCCACAGTCTGGGATACTCTTGCGTCGCTGGGGCTTTTGAACAAGCATGCGAAGCTTCTGTTCCTCGGTCTGGATAATGCCGGAAAGACGACTCTGTTGCATATGTTAAAGGTGCGTTAGCAAAACCCCGGGTTTGAGAATGGGCGCTTCTACGAGGATATATAGATTAGAAATGTAATCTTTGGGACAGAGAACAACCGCTGATGTTTTGTAACTCGCAGAACGACCGAGTTGCAATCCTGCAACCTACTCTCCATCCTAGTAAGTGGCCTCGAGGCCTCATAACAGGCACATACTGATTTCTGGAATAGCCTCGGAAGAGCTCGCCATTGGCAACGTTAAATTCACAACCTTTGACTTGGGTGGACATCAACAAGGTATTATCGCACGCTATATTCTAGGACTAAGTGGTCTAGCTAACATGCCTTAGCCCGACGTCTCTGGAAGGACTATTTCCCCGAAGTCTCCGGTATCGTTTTCCTCGTCGACGCAAAAGATCACGAACGTCTGTCCGAATCGAAGGCCGAGCTCGACGCTCTTCTGAGCATGGAGGAACTCTCCAAGGTCCCATTCGTCATTCTGGGTAACAAGATCGATCACCCAGACGCAGTCAGCGAGGATGAGTTAAGGCATCAATTGGGACTGTATCAGACTACTGGCAAGGGCAAGGTTCCTCTTGAGGGTATTAGGCCTATTGAGGTCTTTATGTGCTCGGTTGTCATGAGACAAGGTGAGTGCCATATAGCCAAATTTGGGATGCAATACTGACGAAGTGAAGGTTACGGCGAGGGTATCAGATGGTTGTCACAATACGTTTAGAGGAGATGGAGGCAGTTGGATGGATGAATAGACAATGCAAGATGGAGCAAGCAAGTTATGATGGACGGAGTTTTACAAAGGTCGTTTTTCGGTGCTTTTGTGGCAAAGGCTTTCAAGGTCTTATGGATGAGGTCCATAAACATTTAAGTACCCAGCCAGAATGTTTGTACTCAGCATTGTATCGCGATCAAGATTTATCAACCCCTTCATAGCAACTTAATGATGTATTCATTATCGACCCCAACCCCAACTCCACAGCTTTCTTTTCCCGCTATTGATAGCCTTGTAAATGAGGCTGATCCACCACCCAGTTCAACCCCACAGAGTCCATTATAATCCGCAGCAATACAACTAAATTCTTCATACTATGCAACAAGAACTTCGGAAATGATACAATTGAGCTCTCCATATTTGCATGTGCTTTCAAAATTGCTCGGGTGGTTTCAACAATACGTCATCTGATAGTGGCCAAGGATCGTGGTTGTCTCAACATAAATAGAAGTAGCAATATCTGTACACCGCAAGATTCGCATACTGAACCTCTATTTGCTCAACACCGCATACACTCTAGTACTTGGTACGAGCTGAAAAATGTTTCAAGCCTTCCAATTACCGTAATTCATCCCCACTAAACACCTTTACGGATATTCTAATCTATCCTACCTACAAACATGGCCGATCTTTCCAAATCTTCCAACGGCCCAACACCCCGCAGCGAGGAAGGCTACGATCCCTCACTTCTTCCTGATTTCGACCACGACTTCCTTTCCGACGAAGACCTACAAGCCTTCGCAAATGCCCTCTCCGCTCCCGATCCATCCCCCAGCTCGGACAATCTGCTCTCCCCTGCAGTGACCGCCACCAATAGCCGGAGAGCAAGCACAACGCCCGGTGATGGCTCGAAGAGCAGGGAGAGCCTATTCATATCCGCGCAGAATGATTGGGCACCTGTAATCCCGCCGCGGAAAGAAAAGCGCAGAGGCGATAAGGTGAAAGGGCGGGTGAGGAAGCAGAGGCGCAATAGGGATGAGACAAGGGAGGGGCATCTCTACACACTCCTGAAATGGCCATTCCTAGGCGTCGTAGGTGCTTGGGTTCTGGGGTTAGCGACAACATATCTACTCACGAGGCTGTACATCTGGCTTTATGAGCATTTCATTGCTTGGAGGGGTAAACGGGAGAGATTGCGGAGGAAACTACAAGCTGCAGAGACCTATAAGGATTGGGTTGATGCGGCAAAGGAATTGGATGCTTTTCTGGGGAACGACGGGTGGAAAGAAGAAGATGTATTTGCGTATTATGATAGTAAGACCGTGAAGAGGGTGTTGGAGCAGATGAGAAGGTGTAGGAGGAGGGTGGAGCAGCAGGAGAGAGGGAACGAGAACGAGGATGTGAATACCAGAGGAAAGGCTGTCGAGGAGTTGAAAGCCCTTGTTGAAGCGTGCGTGAAGAATAATTTCGTGGGGGTGGAGAATGCCAGGTTGTACTCCCAAACTTATTATGGGACCAAGAACCTTGCACAGGAGTTTATTGATGAGGGTAAGCTATTCAACCCCGTCTCACAGATTGTAACTGATAGTAGGAAGTCGTCAAGGGCGTCTCAATACTCGTAGATACAAACCAACTCGGCCCAGAGGAGAAACGGACGCTGTTCAAGAGGATGCACACCAACTACGGCAGAACAGCATTATGTTTGTCTGGTGGGGCTTCCTTTGCGTACTATCATTTTGGAGTAGTCAAAGCTCTTCTGGATGCAGACCTATTACCAGATGTGATCACAGGTACTTAGTTGATCTCCAAGAAGGTGCTCAATTATGCTCATTGTCTATAGGTACTTCGGGTGGGGCACTTATCGCTGCGTTGGTAGCCACAAGAACAAACGAAGAGCTTAAAAAGCTACTTGTTCCGGCTTTAGCAGGTCGAATAAACGCTTGTTCAGAGGGAATCAATGTATGGGGACCTCGATGGTGGAAGACCGGCGCTCGATTTGACTCCTTGGAGTGGGCAAAGAAGTGTAGTTGGTTTACAAGGGGAAGTATGACATTCAGAGAGGCATACGAGAGAACTGGGAGAATACTCAACGTCTCTTGTGTGCCTTCCGATCCTCATTCCCCAACGTAAGTATCTAAGCCTTTCAGACATACAAGAAGCTTACTCTTGGCTTCAGGATTCTTACGAATTATCTCACGAGTCCGGACTGTGTCATCTGGTCTGCGGTCATTGCCTCTGCCGCAGTTCCTGGGATCTTGAATCCCGTAGTCCTCATGATGAAATCACAAGATGGCAATCTCGTCCCGTATTCTTTTGGCCACAAGTGGAAGGATGGCAGTCTTCGAACTGATATTCCCTTAAAAGCACTCAACCTCCACTTCAACGTTAATTTCAGCATAGTGAGCCAAGTCAACCCTCACATAAACCTATTTTTCTTCTCTTCTCGTGGATCCGTTGGTCAGCCTGTCACTCACCGAAAAGGACGAGGTTGGCGAGGTGGATTTCTAGGCAGTGCCGCAGAGCAATACCTCAAACTCGACTTGAACAAATGGCTGAAAGTACTGAGACATCTGGAGCTTCTGCCACGACCCTTGGGCCAAGATTGGAGCGAGATATGGCTGCAACAATTCTCAGGTACAATCACAATCTGGCCACGCTCCCTTGTCTCGGATTTCTGGCGTATCCTGACCGATCCAACCCCCAAACAACTTGCACGGATGTTACACGTAGGCCAACAGAGCGCCTTCCCTAAATTGCAATACCTTGCCAACAGGATGAAAGTAGAGCGGATGGTAGAGAAAGGCAGAAGGCAGACTAGAGTGGGGGTCAGAAGAGGCTCTATTGAAAGCATCCTGAGTGAAGCCGATATCAGGAGCTTGCTAAGGAAGGGTGATGAGACACATAGCGCAACGGCGACGGAAGACGAGACAGATGTGGTGACTACAGAAGATGACTTTGAGGATGCGGTGGAGGATGAGAAGCTGTTGGATATGGCGGATCCCAAGGACATTTGAGTTTGAAATTATGCATACATTCCGAGCTTTCATACTTTATGATACCAATGGAATTTATGATAATCACACTTGTAGGGCGCAGGAGTATGGTTTTTAGTTTTTGTATCCTCTCACCTGAACCTTTCTCTTTGAAGTCGTTCGGGTACAATTATCCCGAGAGCAACAATAGACCAGTTTCTTCCTGCAGCGCTAGTCGTGTTGGATTTTAGCCAAGAGCAACAGTATTGGTGGTTGAATCAACTGTGATTCTTCCGGTACCTGGCTCTAGGAAGCTTGTTACTATGTGTGAAATATATGTGGCGGGGTAAGAGCATGAGATAGCTTTAGGAGAAATACTCAGGTCCGCTATTCCTAGCCTTTAAATGTGTTTCCTATAAGATCAATCAAAGATGCATCTGCTTCTCATTTTCTACTTTGCTTTTATTTACAACTAGATCAATTGCGTTCTCTTGAAAAGGCTGCTCAATTCACGATGCAAATCCTCTCCTTTCTTCCCCTCTACCCAGCTCTCGCATACGCTGCACATTCCCCGCGGCAACCAAGCTATGGCCATCAGCCCAAGCCGCTCGTCCCTACAATCTGGCTCGCAGGTGATAGCACGGAGGCACCAGGCGGCGGCCCCAACGGGACGGAAGGCTGGGGCCAGTATCTGCAATACTCGTTCCTTTCTTCCGTCGCGCGTGTCAACAACTCGGCTATCGCGGGCCGTAGTGCGAGGACTTTTACGAGAGATGGACGCTTTGATACCATTGCTTCGAATGTGAAAGAGGGCGACTGGGTCGTTATTGAGTTTGGGCATAATGATGGGGGCATACCACCTGTTAATGCTACGGTTGGGGATAAAGGGAGGGCGGACTGCCCGGGTGCTGGTTTGATTTCTCAAAGCTAGGGGGTGTTGTGAGGTAGATCCATGCTGATGATGGGCGGTAGGGAATGAGACGTGTATTACTGTTTACAAGTGAGTCAAGTTTGTCTCATTCTATGCTGATGGCATTCAGTAGGTGATAGTGGCTAATGTGTTTGTTCTTGAAGTAATGCAACGGAAATCGTCCAAACATACGGCACCTACCTCAAAAACGCAACGAGAAAGTTTCTCGACAAGAAAGCCAAAGTCGTGCTTTCCTCCATGACACCCGATAATCCATGGGAGTTCGGCAACTACTCTTACACGCCTAACATCTTCACCTACTATACCTGGTATGCTACCTCTACCTCTACCTCTAACCAACTACCTTCCTACTCATTAATTAACCATCCGACGTTGATAATTTATTCATTTACACGGTCTAATCCACATCAGGCTTGCCGCAAGTGAACTCGGCGGTCCGGCACAAGGTGTATATTTTGTCTCGCACGGCCAATACGCAGCACAAGCCATGAAGAACCTGGGGAAGGAGACCGTCGATGCTAATTACCCAATCGACCATACACACACGGCGCCGTTTCTGGCGGATGTGGTGGCGCGGTCGTTTGTGCTGGGTCTTAAGTGTGGAACGAGTGGGTTACAGGACTTGGTGTTGAATGCTACGAGTAGGCTGCAGGGAGATGTGCTGGGGAATTGTTTGGCGGTTAATGAGACGTTGCCTATATGAAAGCCTTTGGATGAGAGCCTCATCATGAGACTCAGCTCTACTGCACCGAGGGGGCGCATGGTATCCTTCTATTGGACCTTGGTATTGTTGAGTTAGCAGAAACTAAAAAGAAAAAACTCTTCACTTGTAGCGTAGACATACTTCGCCTCCTACAAAACACACAATATGTAGATCATATCGTCCAACACCTTCTTGGTAATTTGGCTCTCACGTGACATGAATACCCTCTGAAGGTTACAGGTTAGCAATTTAAGTACGTATTGCAAGATTGAAAACAGTTCGATCTATGAAGCATACTTCATATATAGAAGATAGTAGAACTGTTCAAGAACAAGATGATGGAAGAGACGTTGGTAAGCATGTCAGAAAGGGGTAAATTCTAACCCTAGCCGGATGGAGGCTAGGCTGGTGGACGACATATTACCAGCATCAAAAGTTGACGCTCAACAACAGACACTAGATCCATTTCCCCCACTAAAATATTGCTGTGTTTCTCTAATAATGGCTATGAATCCCGCGTGGAGCGCATATTTGAAGTCTTCCGAGGAGGACTGGACTAGGATAGCGGACCCCATTGAGCGGAAACGGGTTCAGAATAGGCTATCACAGCGAGCAAGAAGTACGGCACTTAGTAAAGCAACCGTGACGGGTTCGACTAACAGCGATCCCAGGGTCGAAGCTTGTTAACAAGCAGAGAAATGGATTGGTGCAGTGTTCTCGTCAGATCGGCGGCACCTCTGGAGAGGCAAACAGGGCTTGTTCGGGCACTGAACCTCAGTATTTGCCCACTACATCGGCGGATTTGAGCGTTTTCAGCAGCCCAAGTTTTAGCACCTTCCAAAGGCCATTCTCTCCCGATCCCACAGTAGACAACCGGTTCATGGTGTTGAGTGGTATAGATACATGGGACGCCTTCCTCTGCATTGCCAGTATCCTCAAACTAGCCTGCATGCAAGACAGTGGCTTCAACATCGGGGCAACAATAGACACCTTACCACCACCACTTACTCCGACCTCACAACAGCAGATAATACCCCACAGACCCTATGTCGACATGCTGCCACATGCTTTATTGCGGGACCGACTCCTGAAGTCAGTTTCGACGATCAACGAAACGGAATTTGTTCTGGATATGCATGGGTTCAAGGTGTGGGGCTCAACTCCTTGGGATCCGATGGGATGGGAATTTTCACCTGAGTTTGCGAGAAAGTGGTGGTTTTTGATGGATGATGAGTTGATGCGTGCGACGAATTTTTGGAGGGGTCAGCGGGGCGAACAACCTTTGGTGCTGGCACCTCCCTAATAATACTTGACAGTTCGGTAATATATCTCCAAATATCTTGTCGAGTCTTCTACAAATGAACGGAAATTCTAACTTGGCTCCGGCCATATTTATAGATTGCTACGTGGCTCTGGGTTTGTGATCTTGACATATCCAACATTTACCCGCTCAATCAAACTCGTCAATGTCCTATTCAACCAACTATAGGGAAATCTCACCAAATCCCCTATAGTTAGTCCAGCTTTTGTTGAGAATCATACCTCTTCTCTAGTGGGCAAAGCTTTCATTGTGACTGTTGGAACTGCAGATGTCGCCCTTGAGCTCTTCAAATCCTGTATCTTAAAGAAGCGACGGTCTATATGGCTAGCCGCTCTACGATCAAAACCACAATCGGATCGAAGCCATCAAATCTATTTACATGCCAAGTTTCGGCCACATCAAGAGTTTTTGTCTCCATTTTAGCGACCTTACCACAATTCCGACTTGGCCTTCTACCTTCGTCGCCCAAGAGCCCTGCCTCGATGTTCTTTGGAAGTCGAAACAATGCAGACATCAGTGGCTCACCTGGAGGGTATCTAATTGCCGATGGGCACGAAACTCATATGAGCATTAACTGCATTGGTCCATCCCGCCCAATAAAACTTCTGCTCCTTGTCCCTCGTCGAATCGCAAAGTCCTTGCCATAGATAGTGTTCGTGTGGTATTAGAATCTTCTGGGATGACCGACATGGTTGTTTATGTGGGTGGTGTCTCCCACGCTGAGCCTGTCCCTAGCAAGATCTCTGAAGATAAGAACCATAAATACTGCCAGCGCCCCGAAAGCTGGAATCTGGGTTCTAGCACTAGAACCCAACAATGAGCCCGCGAGGATAGTATTGTGCGTATAGCGTAGTATGCAGGGACTCTGAAAATCGAACCCTGGAAGCAAGTACTTTGGTCAATATGATTACTTATGAAGCCATGCAATGCGTGGACCGAGGATGGGGGCGTATACGGAATTCTGGACTGTGATTAGTGAGTAGGTGGAAAGTGAAGATAGAAGGAGGCTTGGAGGTGTGATCCAGGTCCGAAGAGCGTCTTCTTCGGGGCTTGAAGACAAAAGATGAGGATGGAACAGGCCTTACTGTAAAACTTTTTTGCCTGATGTGGGGAGCTGGAGCAGATTGAAGGCTATGATGGAGAGGGAAGCTCGAGGGACAAGAAATTCCTAGTCTGGGATATCCATTATTGCCAAGCTTGGTTCGAAGGCTTTCGAATTTCGCACAATACTACTCCCTTCTTTCCGTTCATGAAGGAGCGGTGTGATTTTGATCTCGTCTTGACCTTCGTTTTTCTTGTCTTGTGAACTGTTGATTGAAGTGAGCCTGAGCCTGGGCGGGGAAAGAATGTGCTGATTATGATTGAGTGGCCTATCTATTCCACGCATTAGTCGGCATACAAGAATCATGATATTCTAAGTTGGTTGGGCAGCTAGGTACCGTACGGAGTAATACAAGAAGAGAGGTCTTCCAGCTGTCACGTATTACCCCTTTCCGTGTCGCTTGTGAAGCGAGATGCGAAGAAGTGCGGTTGCGGTTTCAAGCTCCGTCCAGCAGTCAGTCGACCCCAAAACCCGGGTAAGAAGTTTAGTTACGTTTCGATTCCGTCGGAGAAGTCCGAGCCCAATGAGATGCATCTTCTTTCCTTCTCATCGCCAAGGAATGCTTCAATTTCAGGACAGACCGCATAGCGACCCACCCACCAGCCTTGCATATCACTCGTCTCATAAGGACGTCTATCCAGTATTACTTTAATCTGGTACCTCTTGCACCTGCGTCCGGAAGAAGCAATATTCCGTCCCAGTTAGTGATTTACGATTTCAGCGGTGAATCAACTGCTCTTTACATCAACCACTCACAGAAAAAAGACCGCTAATCTTTTATTCGTAACGTCCATGGATCACAATTGACGGTTAGCAGACGCCACAGAGACGAGGAAATTCACGGTCAGGTTGCTGCCCAAAGCTACTCAATTCTCGAGTCCTTCCGGCACGGATCTAATCAACACGGGAGTCGCATCCGATGTTGTGATTAGTCTGGTGTTTAGCTACGGCAAGAATAAGGTCTGAATCAAGCCAATCATGGACCTGTCTGTCATCCATTTCCCGCTATGTCTGGTCTCAGATATGAGGCGGGAGCACCTGTGGAGGGAAAATCTGAGACCTGACGTTGGGACACACGATGAGATTCATGCGCCAAGGGTCATTTATGCGGATCGCTAGGTTGGTACGTGCAACGATCCGGCTGATCTTGGGCAGTCTCTGCGTTGTGTGACTGCCTGTGATTGTGTTATTTCCCCAAGTGGCTTCCAGCAGGAAGATTTAGCATCTCCAGGCGAGGCGGCGGGGCTAGAAACAGAACCGGTAGATGGGATGGAAGTATGAAACATCCTGCGTGGTTGGGGTAGGGCAAGATGGAGCTTTAACACCGGGCAATGGCAGTCGCGTGCTTGATATAGCCATGTGTCCTGAAGCACGTGGCGAGGTGTCACACTTTGCGGGACATTCACACACGCCCGGATATCAGGGAGGAAGTAAGTCCACACTATGATCAAAGCGGTCAGCACTGCAGCAGTAGAAGAGAGCCATCCAATGGTCGTTTGTTAGGAAATATGTCATACCGGCCGAGCCTGGTTCAGGAATGCACGTAGCCGTCAGTTTGCTCTGACAGAAACATCCGGTTCATGCCCACCACTTTGGCCCTAAGGAACCAGCAACACATTCGGAGTAAACCTGAGACATGCGAACGAGTTCATTCGCATATCTGGTTTGTGGCTCTAGCCTCGGACGCGTGCAGCGGAACTGGTAGTAAGGTATAGCCGCAGTCTCCACGGCGCTTAGGCGCTGGAGCCAGATGTTGCACCAACCGCGGACAGCAAGATCAGACCTCAATTCAGCCTTATCAAGAGGTATCGAGAATTTGAATGAAGCGATGGTAATCCGCAGTTCTGATAAAAAGCTGTTTAATCCATGCTCAGGAGACAACGGGAGGCTTCATGAATTCGCGGCTAGCTATTTAGATCAGCAAGCCAGTGTAATGACAACCAACTTGAAGCGCTTGGTAGCAAATGCGGAGAAAGCACGGTCTTCTTCGGCAGCGATTCCTTCTTTGGCACATCTAGAAGGCCATGGCCTGAAATTTGCTGAAATCTAATAGAAAGTGTTCCCGTACTCGCCTGGCATTGTGGACCTCTAGCATGCAATCATATAACAGCAGACCAGCAACCATAGCATATCGGCGAAAAATAAAGTTCTTTGCACATATTTCCAATCTGGGGTTACTGTTCAATTTTTCACAGGTCTTTGTTCATATGAAAGTAGAATAATCGATATCACGAGTGTTTCAGAAAGGTTGGTAATAAGGAAGGAAGCAAGGTTGAACGAAAGGTAAGAGTCTCCATCTTGTTGCTCTGCTGGCGGTGTAGGAAGTAAGTAAAATGATAGGAGGGTACAACTGGAGTTGGGAAGTCTTGAAATCATAACAACCATGAGAGGGTATTTGCTTTTCCTTGCATAACTTCACTATGTGTTGGAGCATTCATCAGTAACAAAAACCCCTCTAAAGCACGATGTACATCTTTTAAACTGGGGTGAATGCTCATAGGTCGACCGCTTGGTGTTCTGTTGATTTTGGAGCAGTGTTGCATGACATTGGCTGATGACGAAGTCTATAGGCCTCCTTCCCGCCTTTGAAGTACATCTAGCGGTCGACTAGAAGCATTGCTTTCGCAAAGCTACATCAGGGCCGAGACAAGAAAGCGGTGAGGCGTTAACATGATGTTTATTAATGCAAACCCCCGAGTTGTCTCGAATGGCTTCGGAAGCTTTGTCCCAGTTCAGAGAACGGAGTCTTTGCATCAAAGACTTGTAGAAATGACGAACAACGATGTCAACGCATGGAGTGTATTCAGGCCCGTGGCATCTACAAACGATAATTGGGACCAACATATTGGTGAATTCAACAACGAGAATCTACCGGTAAGCCGAGACCTGAAAAGAAGAAGTTCAAGAAAGACTGACAGAATTAAGGAACACTTCGTATACGGTGGATACTTCCAAGAAGCTTCTCCTTTGGCCGTTACCCAACCCGCCCACTTACCAAAGACGACCCCATGCAGCAATTCGCGGCAAGGTCATAGCCAACCTCGGAAGGCCTCGGCATCACTTCAAGCATATCACGAGCCAGTGTTGGATATGAACTACGTCCAGAGACCAAATCCAATGCTCGGAGCTCCCTATTTACAATGGGGTACAGACCACGGGAGAGGGAGCTTCGCAGAGTTTTCGAGCTCACGATGTGGTCTCAAAGACTTTTCATATCAAGTCTCCAGCCAGCCAGACATTGCCGCGTTCTCACCAGCATCACCGATAGCGCAAGCACAACGCTCCTACATGGAAACCAACTCGACAATGAATGAGCTTATGGATACAAAAACTTGTGACGACATCGCATATGACAACTTGACATCACACGGCGCAGGTATTAATCAGCAATCGATGATTCCCCACGTCGAGCCATCCGCCGTTGACAACACAGTAAAGACAACATGGTGGTCAGAAAATGCCCGAAGCGCCGATAACCAGTATCATAACACTTATGGGCTATTTCCGACCAACGATGGACTTCCAAGACTTCAGGATACACAACAAAATCAAGAACTTGGGGACGTTTGGAATAATGGACCCATTTCAGGGAATTCTTGGGCGTCACGAGCCGCGGGCGCCCAAAGTACTATTTCACCCAAGTTGCTAACTTTGGATGCCCCATCAGCGCCTATGTCATCATCAGGATCGAGCCAAGAATCTGCCATCTCACGCTCTGATTGCAGCTCCGCTCCCAGTATTGAGGAAGATGCGTCGGACTTTTCGGGGCCTGAGACATTAGCAGTAGTCGAGCAACCGGTGCCGATTCGTCCGCCTCGACAGATACTCCCAGATTCGCAGCCCAGTCCTCGCAGAGCTTTGTCCATTCCGCCCAGTGATAATTTCGATCCAGCACAGGCAGCCAAGAGGCGTTCATCGAGGCGTACATCTGCCAGCCTATCCCGAAAAAGGGACCATTCTCATGGCAACATAAATGCAAAGTTCCAAAGAGAGTCTAGGCTCTCTGAATTGGCCTCCCCAAAGTTCAATACACCAAAGAAAATTGAGCCAAAGCCTCTTCCAGAAGAAACATTCTGGGCGGCGTCGAATCAATCAAGTGCAACCGCACAGGCCATACACCATCGGGACGCCAAAGATGATTACCTAGTGAGGTCGAAGCTGGCTGGCATGTCTTACAAAGATATACGCAAACAAGGGAAATTTACAGAGGCAGAATCGACGCTGAGAGGGCGGTTCCGTACATTGACAAAGCATAAGGCCGCTCGAGTGAGGAAACCGGAGTGGAACGACAACGATGTAAGTAAAGTGCTTTTCTATGGTTTGACATTGCTGATTTCTGTAGGTGCGACTATTGAATAGGGCTGTGCAAAAGTTGACTAGTAGTTCCGATCTGTCGAGAAACAAAGTTCCTTGGAAGTCGGTCGCTGAATACATTGCCAATAATGGTGGGTCTTATCATTTCGGCAATGCCACTTGTCGAAAACGTTGGGATGACCTTCACGGTCGGTCGGAGTAACGAGTATGACGGTTCTATTTTGAAATGAAGACCTCGGGAGGTTGGGAACATGTATGAGTACGGGCATGTTTCTTTGGTATGGATAAATTCGTGTATTTGTTATTCAGAGGCGTCATGAGTTGCCAACTTCTAGATTGTCAAATGTAGTCGTAATCAAAGTCGTTCACCAAGACTAATCTTTTGAGAAGGGATGCCAATAGCTTGAAGGACTTCTTGAAGTTTTGATTCATCGTTTCGTAGAGCCTGCCATTCCTCGTTGCTCTTAACCAGAAGTGTACCACCAAGCACAGTGCCATTGAGAGCGATAGGGCCAATAACTTCGCCCTCTATGCTCTTGATCTTTGAACCCTCTGAAACACGAGGGCACAGGACCATTTTTCGATCGGTGAGTCCAATATTGTAGCTTATTGGGGATGCTCCTTTTCTTGTGGTTTCGAGCAATGAGAATGAACTTCCTGGGCGTTCAGCAAATTTCTGGGTTGCTTTTAGAGCCCTATCGTACAGTGTTGTATATATTTTGTGAAGTTGGCTTGGAGTCGCAATGTTTGCGTCTGGGATCTCCGACACAAAGTAGGTAAAAGGTAGGTCTGCTGTGTCTTGGTTTCCTGTGAGGTTGTCGGCCAGAACATTCCAGGAAATCCCTTCATCAATACCATTGCGCATTGATTCAACAGGTAGGAATTGGATGTGCCGATGAGGTTGTGATGCTCCTGAGTGTTCACCAGAATTGAAAAATCCAAATAACTCTTCTCCTTGGGCCCGGTACGCTTTCAAACACTCATACGCAGCACTAATATCTTCTTCCTCTAGGAGATCCGTTTGCTCTTGAAATCTCTTGGTTGCAAGTATGAAATGGTCTGGAATAACGGGGAATTTATTGAGGACCAAGTAGTGAGTGGGCGACAAATCAGCCAGAAATAGGCCCTTTTGAGGATTCTCAAATGGGTCTACAAGTTTAGCGTTGCGCGGTTTGTTTGACTTCGGTTTACTTGCGAGGGCAGGGGAAAATCGGATTTGAAACTATGGGAATTAGCAAGTTGACCCGGAGATACTGGTCATTAGGATTGTGTTACGCTGCACATACAGGAAGACCATTGCAAGAAAGGATTGAGACTTGGGTTGAGTAAAAGGTGAGATCTCCAGCCTCTTGGGCCGTCTTGAATTGGCCCCGAACAAGAGCTGGCAGAGCTCGTATGGCTGGCATGGTGAAGCTAAGGACTGAAGGAGGTTGAAATCAGGTGCCGCCCCAAAAGGTTAGCAGCATTTCGGGATCACGTGTACTAGCCTGCTTTTCGACTTACATAAGTTTCCGATCAATGTCAAACATCAACGATCACCAACGTTTTCCATTTTGGGCTGGTCTCACCTCGTGTTCCCTACGCTCTCACAGCATATGATACTCTCCGTATTGATCGTCATGAGGGCTCGGATTCATCGAGATTCATGTTCGAGGCTAGCTCTTTGTTGGGGGCCGCCATTGAACCAGCGAGTGTTGGTTTCAGAGCTCTTTGCTCTGTCAGTCTTTCAGACATACTGCAATCCTCTTTTGAATTTGGAATGTTTATCCTTACTGCTACACACTGGGAAAAGGAAATCTTACTCACACCTCGCATCTTTCGTTCTAGTTGACACCACTGATATGAATTGCAATCAAGAATGCCTGTGCCGCCGCAAGGCTGACCGTTAAAACGCTATTATTGGATCTTCGTTACACAGATGAGCCTCAATGTTGGTGTTCTTGTTAGTCTTTTGAATAGGCCGTCAGCTTACTATCATACGTTGGCGCCAACCAAGGATACTGCTCCTTCTATTTGTACTAGGGCTTTTATATATTGGCGATCTTGAATGCGAAATATTACGAAGTACAGTCAGATCAGCTATCACTTGACCATGCTGGTTTCTATGACTTCCGGTATGAAGCTATCGTTTGTAGTTTGACTCTGTTTTGGGAGTAAGTCTGATGTTTGTATTACCTTGTGTTCACTCCAGTTCCCAGTGCCCCATTTCGTGCAAAGCTGTTAGGAGGCAGCGTCTCATACCTCCAGCAAGCCCTCGTAGGATCATCTAGGACTCCAGTGCTTATGGCACAACTTTTTAGACAGCCTCGTGAGCAACCAGGATGCCTATAAATGTCCTAAACCCCATCTTAAAGTTTTCTATCCCCTCATTTTCCCTTCGTTCCAAAGTCATATACTAAGAGCGTTATTTGATTAGCTGTAAGCTCAAACTAGAGATCCTCGTACATTTTCAAGCCTCCAACCATATTATACACTTGCACTCCTGTTACTATGGCGGATCTAAAGCCACCTACTTCCACCACGCCCTCCATCGCCACATCGACAGCACCACACATGGAGTCACCGCTACCGGACCGTCATTACAATATCACCAGACTCTCCGATGCTGATTTAGCAATTGTATGTCATGCAATCGGCGCCTCGAGCAGTGTGGAAAGTCAAGCGCTTCTCCACCCAACCTCCAAGATGTACCCACCCAAAGGCATACCCGATGGCTTATACAGAGACGTTATCCGAGCGAGAGTCAATTGCCAATATTCCTACTACGTCTCTGCGGCTTTAGTCAATACCAGTATGGTGTTCCAGCTCTTACTGGGTGCCGCGTTGACGGCTCTGGGTTCAAGAGCAAACGGACAAGAGCTCGCGATTACACTACTGGCAGCGGCAAATACCGTCATTGCAGGACTCTTAGCACTGCTGCACAATTCAGGCCTGCCTGATCGCTTCCAGAAGGATTGGAACGAGTATGATGAGGTGGAGTCGTTTTTGAAGGAGCTGATGGAGACAGGGATCGTGAAAAGGGGCATGACGAGAGAAGACGTGGTCGAGAATTGTTTCGCAAAATTTCGGAGAGCGAAAGCATGCGTTTATAACAATAGGCCTTCTACATATACGGCCTCGAGTGAAAGTGGCACGAATAGCCCACAGCAGGTGGCACCTCACCTAGCATAATGTGTTTGGATGGCGTTTTGTAAGATCTGACATTTGATGTGTTCAAGCATTGTATAATATTATTACACGAAATATATGCTCAACATGAACCGAATTCAGGTCCCCGTACTAAGTTTTGAGGTTCGACTCAGCATCGTATCTCTTTTGTTCATCGTTCTGGATATCAAAACCAACCAGAGCTGATTTATTTAGCAATGACTGCCCGGTATCTAGTATGATTTGGGAACGCTGCGAACAAATGCTCCCCATATTCGCCCTGCTCCTAGCCTGAGAACAAAGAGTAAGACTTGCTTATGAAAGAGTGACGGCTAAAATATTATGTTGCAAATTGTGAGAAATTTGGACTCGAAAATCGTAAATGGGCTGCTAGGCGAGGCACGTTGATTGTATGACACTGTCCCTCATAACTTTGCAGCTAGAGTACCAAGTATACTTTTTAATCCTCCGGTGTTCAAAACAAGTAATACCATGCTCGCCTGATCCAGATCATTAACAGTCCCAGCCGCCATCACCACCATACACTGAGCCTGTGACATAAGAACTCTCAGGTCCCACAAGGAAAGCAATGATATTTGCCATCTCTTCAGCAGTGCCCGGCCGCTTGATGACGGCGGGGTTATCGCTGCCTTCATCGGGGTTTCCCTCTTGAGCCGTTTTCAGCAAAGGAGTAATGATAGATCCCGGAGCAACAGCATTTACTCGAACATTTCGATATCCATTCTCCTTTGCCGCTGACCTTGTAAGGCCAATGACACCATGCTTACTGGTGACATATGCTGCGCTACCCGGGAAACCTATGTCCCATTGTAAGTGAACGTCTTAGGCTTTGAGAAGAACGAAAGGCCTACCCATGACGCCTTGTATGGAAGAGAGATTGACAATCGATCCTCCTTCCGAAATCTTTCTCAACTCTGCTCTCAAAGAGTACATCATGCCCGTCAAGTTTACAGAGATGATCCTATGCCATTCATCATCCTCAAGCTCCGTGATCGTAGTGATCCCATGGTGTTTTCCGATGACTCCAGCGGAATTTACGGCTCCATCCAACTTTCCAAATCTTTCGACGATGCCATCAACCCATGCATCGACTTCCGGTCGCTTCGAGACATCCACTTGGGTCACAGAAAAGGGAACTTTGCGAGCCGTGAAATGGGATTCGGCTGCGGAGATGCTGGCGGGATCAATATCTGCAAGGCAGACTGTTGCGCCTCGGCTCGAGATCAGATTCGCTGTAGCCAACCCGATGCCACTGGCGCCTCCAGTAATAGCAATAACTTTGCCTTCTAAAGACATGCTGATAAAGGACTTGTGGTCGATTCCAAGCCGCAGTAAAGATCAAAGACAGAGAACAATACACAGTCACAGGCTCCCACTATTTGTATACAGGAACAGGCTTGGCCAAGGTATATTATATAGAAAGGTTCACACGTACAGTACAGTAGGATAACCAACGGCGCGGCGGAGCATCTTTGCCCATCGAGACCCCGCGCTGTTGATTTTTACTGCTTTCTCGGGCGAAATGCACCGAAAGTCATGCGGTCTTGGCAACTTGTCTCGCAGGCAAAAGCTGGGGAAAGCTTGGAAGGATGGCTGGTGGCGTTGTTTCAAGACGCTAGCTAGACTTGCTTCACCTGCAGCTACAGTGCTTGTATGGTCTTTCCCCACAACTACCACCATCGTCCTTCCTTCTTCCCTTCACCCTTGGTTGTTTTGGGAGTAAACCTGAGACTTTGTTGTAAATCCATGTCCTGAAGACCAACATATCGACACAGGAATTACAGCTGGTGCTAATTCCCTATTGACTACATTCCAACATGCGCTGGACGACTTGTTTGGCTGTGGCGGCTGTTGCCGTCATCAGCGAGGCCTCGACGTTGACGCCGCCTGTTATACCTCTCGCTGTGCGAACTCCTTATTTAAGTACCTGGCTGGGACATGCTCGAGAGAATCCTTGGGACCACTGGCCTATTTTCTGGACTGGACAAGAGGTACAGCTTTCCCGGAATCCTTCAAAGCTGGTAGGCTGACAGCTGTGCACAGGTCGGATTATCGGTTTTGGCTGCGGTCCCAAAGTCCAATACAGTATTTCCTCTACTTGGCAGAGCTCAAGATTCGCTCCCAAAATCTGGAGAAACGTTTGTCACACAACTTTCCCAATGTTCCGAAGCTAATCATTTGGATGCAGGTTCAATGTTTCCTACCCCGCATATGTTGGAGCTACTTTCGATGCCTCCACTACGAATCTGACATACAAAATACCTGCACCCAAATCCTCTCAAGAACCGCTAGATGTTGTTCTGTCTTTTCTATCTCCTGTAACCCCAACGTCTTCACTTCGACAAGCAATTCCGGCATCATACCTCACCGTGGAAGTCAGTGGAGGATTCGACCTTGATATCTATGTGGACTTAAACGGTCTATGGGTTAGTGCGAATAGGGATAATACAATCCGGTGGGAGTTCGGTCAGGAACACATCGAGGGAAAGAAGCAAAATGCACCCCTCAAAACATGGAAAGTCAAGCGAATGACCGAGCAGCTGCTGACGGAAGATGCTGACCGAGGGGAATGGGGAACCTTATTTTTCACGGGCCCATCAGATGTCCAACATGAAGCTGGTACTTCTGCTCTGCTTCGCCAACGGTTTTCGAGAACTGGAACGCTACAAAATTCCGTTGATGAAAACTTCAGGGCTATTATGGATGACGAGCCTGTCTTTGCCTTTTCCAAGTCATTCGAGCTCAATGGCACCTCTGCAGCGGGTGGAAAGTCATACGATAGCGTCCTCTTCACAATTGCCCATATTCAAGATCCAGTCCTCCAGTACGCATCTGCCCGGGGAATGACTTTGATGAAGCCACTATGGCAATCTTATTACCCGACGGCAGAAACTGTACTCGATTTCCACTACCACGACTTCGCTACGGCATCCAAGCTTGCCGGAAACTACTCGGAGCAGCTAGAAATAGATGCTTTGAAATCTGGGTCTGAAGATTACAAGGACATTCTTGCCCTAAGTGCTCGTCAAGTTATGGGTGGTTGCAGCTTCGCAGGAACCCCTGACGATCCACTTATTTTCTTCAAGGAGATCTCGTCCGATGGGAACATAAATACTGTTGATGTTATCTACCCTGCCTTCCCATACTTCCTATACACGAATCCGAAGTGGCTGGCCTGGCTCATGGAGCCTCTGATTGAGCATCAGCTTAGTGGACAATATCCCAACGATTACAGTATGCACGATGTTGGTGCCAGTTTCCCAAATGCGACTGGGCATCCGGATGGCAACGACGAGTATATGCCTGTTGAAGAATGTGGAGACATGCTGATTATGGGATTGGCTCTTGTCAACTCACTTAAATACGATACCGAGCCAGCCAGCATCTGGTCTGCAGCTGGGGCAAATAAATACGTAGAGTCCGCTGATGGGTCGTTCCCACTTTACATTGACTCTGATGGTATGGATGACTCTTTTGGAGGCCCAATTTCTGCCAAGGGTGAAAAGCAAGCGCGCAAATGGATTGAGAAGTCCTACAGGTTGTGGAAGCAATGGACCGGATATCTTGTTCGGGAAACCCTTATCCCGAGCAATCAATTGTCAACGGATGATTTCGCTGGCTGGTTGGCAAACCAGACAAACCTCGCGGTGAAGGGAATCATTGGAATTCGAGCAATGGCCGAAATTGCCGACCTCGTGGGAGAGACTGAAGATGCGAAGTATTATCAGAATATCTCCGAGGTATATATCAAGAGATGGCACGACGAATTTGCCTTCTCGCGAGACGGCACCCATGCTAAGTTGGCATACACCTGGTACGGCAGCTGGACCACGCTCTACAATCTGTACGCAGATGCCCTACTCTGCTTTCACCTACCTTCGAGTCCTAGTCCACGTTTCGCACAGGGCCAGAAGCCTTTACTCGGATCTAAGCCATCTAAGACCGCTTTCATCGATGAGAAAGTCTACAAAACCCAAAGCGACTGGTACCACAACGTCCGTCAAAGGTATGGATTACCACTTGACAGCAGGCATTTGCAAACTAAAAGCGACTGGGAATTTTTCGCAGTGGCAGTTGCTAGCAAGCAAGTGCGGGAAGAAATAGTCGAATCTATAGCATTGTGGGTGAATGAGACATCGACTGGTATGTAGAGTTCCGTTTCCAGCCGTTTTGTTTGCACTGCTGACCAAACCTAACAGATTGTCCACTTACGGACTTGTATGATACCGAGGGAGACGGAGGTTTCCCAGGGAATTCTTTCAAAGCCAGACCAGTTGTGGGCGGTCACTATGCCTTTTTGGCCTTAGAGAGAGCTTGTGGGGGAAAGGCTGTGGAGGCTCTCAGCTTCCTAGATGACGAGCCCGCTCCCGAATTTGCAACTGGCAGGCTCGAGTTGTAGGTATATGAGACTTGGAATTCAAAAAGTCAATATTTTGTCTTTTTTCTTGGCAGTTTGTAAATTAGTACACGAATCAACGTCTTATGTCTTTATCTCATGTTCAGTTTCGAGTGTGATGGAAAAGTGTACTGAATAATAACCTGGGTGTTCCGGTTAGCATCGCGCCTGAACAATATCGGCAGATTGAATATAGAGCACATTCATTATATGCCGTTCTAGCTTGCTCCAGCAGTATTTACCATAAGGTACATCTGAAAGCATTCAAGTTGACCGTTGGCTTCTAATTCCGGAGAAAAAGAAAGAGGAATGAGTGGGGCGGGAGAATGTTCCCTTCGGGTTTAGCGTGAAGTCCGTGCCAAAAGTGTCAGTTTCCCCTAAATTTACTTTGCTCCTCAACCAACACGACACCTTAGCTTCTTCTTCAACTGTAATATTTCCATCACAAACATCCATCTCTACGACCAATCTCAGAGACTACCACCTGTCTACTGCAGTCCCTGAACTGCTTTCTGCTCCCATTATACCGGTAGACTCTACTCGGCTCCTTTTCTTTTCGCATCTTGCAGCAAGCAGCCCTTGAACCAACCAAGAACCTCATCAACATGGCCTCCATGGATTACGAGAACGAGAACGGCACTCGCTACGAGGGTAAGCTACGATCTGACTCTTCTTCCCAACTTCCAACAACCTTCGCGACCTATTTTGACTGGCACAACTTGATGCTGACTTGGCGTTTGACGCGTAGACGAGGCTCCCCGTTACGAGCGCGATCGCAGTGCCTCCCCTCGACCTACCCGTCGTAATGATAGTCCGCGAGGCCAACGCCGGTCTGCATCTCCTAATGGCAACGGTCATATTGACAGCCGGTTAGTATTAATCCCCTCAGAGGATTGTTTGTCCACTGACAAGCTCGTAGTGGTCCCCCAAAGAACGATCGCGGACCTCCCCAGGATGATGGCGCAATCAACCCAGGCTCTAACCTGTTCGTCACTGGCATTCACCCTAAGCTCTCGGAGCTCGAAGTCACCCGCCTCTTCGAGAAATACGGAGATGTTGAGAAGTGCCAAATCATGCTTGATCCCCACAGCAAGGAGTCTCGTGGCTTCGGTTTCGTCAAAATGGTCACTGCCGACCAGGCTGATGCCGCAAAGGAGGGTCTCCAAGGCGAAGTCATCGAAGGCCGCACTCTGAGCATTGAGAAGGCCAGACGTTCCCGCCCTCGTACTCCAACTCCAGGCAAATACTTTGGGCCACCGAAGAGAGGCTAGTACCCCTTGACCCCTTTGCCATACACAATTAACTAAAACAATAGAAGACGACAATCGTGGACCCCCACCTGGACGCTACAATGACCGCTATGATGACCGCCGCCGTGGCGGAGGTGGTGGCTATGGTCGTTACGATGATTATCGCCGAGATGACCGTCGCGACCGTGGCTATGGCCGTGATCGTGATGACGGGTACGCCCCTCGCGGAGTCGATCGCTACGCACGCGATGATCGATACAGCAGCCGAGGTGGTGATGACCGTCCACGAGGCGGCGGAGGATACTCTGACCGTTATGACCGAGGTGATCGTGGTTCTGCTCGTGAACCTGCTCCTGCATCCAACTATGGTGATCCCGCTCCTCGTGGAGAGGCTAGAGAGCCATACGGAGGTAGACAGCACTATGAGGATGACAAATACAGCCGTCGTGAATATTGATCGCTAACCAACATAGGTGGTGAGCGCCCTGCTCGTTAAATTCGCACGATCTCGAACGCGCAACCATAGCTTTGGATCGGCGGCTTTCATTGATGCATGTGCTCTTTAACTTGTGTGCGACTTTCTCCTTTGTATTTATCGTGGTCCGAAGCTACGAGCGGCGGAGCATAAAAGCGGGTGTCTACACTTTCGGCAGATCGAGCGAACTTTCAGGTCATTTGGGGACTTCTACGGATGCTAGGGATTTTCTTTATTCTTTCATGGTCGGGTCTCTTCGAAACGACATTCGGTCAGTCGAGCGGGTCAACATAAAAACTGCCCATCTCTGTGTGTTCTTAGTCATACCTGGACAGATTTCTGGTCATTCACGGTCAACGCTCAGATTCAGCACCTCATGTCCCCTTGTACCAATATTAAGCTTTGGCTGAGCTTCTGTCACAAATTTCGGCCAACACGCTTTTTCGAACTGTTACGACTTGGGTCTGCTTTAGCGCCAGAACAGAATTCGAAAGCAAAAAAAAAAAAACACAACTACAGCCTCTCCCGTGATCAGCAAATGCGCACTGGCAAAACAATTCATTGACAGCAATTTTCCAACGTGCTCGTTAATTCGAAATTCGATATCAATCCCTGATATTTGCTACTATTCCGCCCCGTCCTTTCACAATAAGCTGCGACGCGCCGTAATCCAATAATGAGGCAACTAATCGTAAAATGCAATATACATCAATCCTCCATACTTTCGCCGCTCAATTTTCTGACAAAATCGAATGCTTGAACTTTTGGAAAGCTTCGTTTGACAAAAGGAAAAAGGTACAATCCCAAATACACGGTGGCTGATATGTGAGTCACAGAATATCTACGAAAACATTCTACGGAATGCAATTAATACCCTATTCGCCATTTGCTATAATATGCTCCTACTTAGATGATGAAGCACAGCACTCAAGCAGTCAAATCACGAGGCCACATTATGATTTGTGCTTCATCCAACTATATCATTCGCAACCCGAGCTGAATTCGGTGCTGATCTATGTTCCATGATCCCCGACAAAGTATTGGTAGGTCGCGTGGTATGGCACTTTGTCCTCGTGTGGCTGAAATCTGGGCGTTTGCCAAGAATGCCAAAAGGAACAAGCAGCGCCAGGGATGTGCAAAGGGGGTGGACGCTACATTGTTTGCTATCTTGAAACAGGTTTTTCTTTTTTCATATCTAAAATACTATTTTCTTCACAGATTCAGAGCTTTTGTGATGATTCATATGTCACCTTGCTGACCTTTGCTTTCCATGGTAAGGTTGGTGTCACGGTGTGACTCGGTCTATGTTTGAAGTGCTACAGCTTCCACGCATTCGTCGAGGGATCCTCTCTTAGCCCATTACAATGCTGCTCTAGCTTTCCCCGTACATGCAGCACAGGTCCTACAATCCATCTACACCTTACAAATGTCACCGCGTAGGACCATTCATCTCGCCCCGGACCCCGAGTTTTGAATTTCCTCTTTTCCGCCTTTCATTGTCCCTTGCGCAGCTAGCGGCTGGCTTGTTTTTATATTTGTGTTTGCATTTACATTTACATTCATATTTATGTTTACTAAGCCGCATGGCGAAGGAGGTAGGTAGTAGGTATATGTAATTGAATGAACGGAATTTGAAATCACATCCAATGTGTATGTGTAATAGTTTACTAGTCTAGGTTTCGGTGAGAATTAATCGTTGAACTTTACTCGCTTGACGGTTACTCCCTCCCCCCCCCCCCCACAAAGCATTCTTTTAGGCAAGTACTTGTCTAATCCATTGTTGATGTTTTGGCTTCTCTGTACTTTTTAGTGTCGTGGTTTTCAGATTGGCTGAACAATTCATGGGTAGCTCTGCGTTCTCCTTTTAGGTACGTTGACACCGCGGATAGAGAGTCGTGACCTCCTGTGATAATAGAGGGGCGTTTATGCAGCTTAAGGAGATGATTCAGTACGTGGATATATTTGATATCAGGATATCATTCATGCTATGACATTAGGGTCCAGCCAGTTCAATATTCTACTCCCTACAAATGCCAAGCCGCAGGTTTTTGTAGTCTAATGCCACAGTAGCAAACGCAACGCAAATTGTCCCATCCATTCTCAGACATTTATTTCCTTATTCAACCTTGCAGCCATTTTGCCGATAGCCTAGACTCAACTCTCTCTCCCCCGCTCTTTGGTGGTGTTAACTTCAGATTATGCAATCCTGAAACCCGACGCGGCTGGCGAAGCTGTGGTGCGGATGCCGGGATCTCGTAGATGTGGACCGTATGCTCTTTCTCCCCCTCGCTGTGCCTTTCACCCCTGACATATGCTGGTCTCTCTTCCTCTTCTCCATTTGGGACGATGATTCTCAGGTTCGCGGGAGCGGCGGCGCCGGGGCCAGACTTGTGGTGGACAGCCATACGACGTTCACGGATGGATCTGTTAGAGCTAGAATCAATCGAGGTTGCAATATCGAGGTCTGGTATATCAACGTCAGGAATGCTGCCCGGAACACTCTTTTCAGAGACTGGCGAAAGCGGGGTTCCTCCTCTCTGTTGTTGTTGCTCGGCTTCGAAAAAGGCATCACGAGGGCTCTTCTTCTGAGGGTCGGTATTTTGGCTGCCGAAAACCTTAGGAGGGGGAAGGCTTGTGAAATAATGGCGGTGCACTGTTTGATCTCGCGCATGTGGGCTTTGAAGGCATATGGCAGTTCCGATCGGGTACTCTTCCTCAGACGTGGGACTTAGATAGTATTCGTCGGAGCTAGGTCTAGGACGGGGAGGAGCTGCGGGACCTAGAGAGCTGTATCTCGGCATCGATGCAAGCGATGCGACAGTAGCCGGTGATGCGCTCCTGGAACTGGTGAAGCTGTTAACACTGTCCCTCTTGCTTCGTGGAGGCGTGTCTATCAGCTTCGCAATGCCGCTATGCTTGACTACTCTTGCGACATCAAGCTTAGGCGAATCGCTCTGAGCGCGTACATAGGCCGTAGCTGGAAGCTCTGATAAGGGACTGTTTGCGCTGGTAGACTGAGCTTGAGACATATCTGAATGGGAGAGTTTGTTATTTGCGAGCACCTTGCTTAGGAACGACTTCCGAAATGATGATTTTCGAACCGGAGGTGTAGGCAGAGGTCGGTTTAAGTAGGAAACTGTCATATTCTGGGATGAGACTTCAATGTCGGGTTTCGAAATAACTATTATCGTCGATTTGTTGCCGAGATCGTCACCGTCAGATATGGAATGAGGCGTGAAATCTCCCTGTTCCACAACCGAAGATTCGTTGACATATTCGCCAGGATCAGTGACAACATCCGGTCCTCTGGGTGCCTGGTCTGCCAGCAGACGACCTGCAGAATTACCAGAGATCTCTGCGTCCCAGAACGGCTTCAAATTCCGATTTGCGAACTGGTGCTTTACTTCTCCAGCAGAAGCAACTTCACCCAGCACATCTCCATTGTCTTCCAGATCCGCATCCGAGCCGTCAGCCGACACCGGGTGTTCATGTCTGTCGTCTATATCGGAGCTGAAGCGAAAGCCGTCATCATATTTCTCGAATGCCTGATCTTCAGAAGCCTCATCCACCTCGTCCTCATCCGCCTCGTCCTTCTCCTCATCGCTCTCCTCTGTGAGGTCATCTTGATCAACAGCAAGCTTGAGCGACGAGCGATTCGCGGATTTACTAGATTTTTCTATCTCTCTGAAGCGCTCCTCGTCTAATCGGTACTGATCGACTCTTGAAAGGCCTGCAAGTGACATAAGGCTAGGCGTCGCCCGAAGCAGCTGTTTTGGGTGTTCGGGTGAGGCTATGTGCAGCTCAGAGAGAGTTTTCCAACTACGGTAGTAGAATTTGAACACCACAAAGGGTTTGTTCTTTGGATCTTTGAGGTGCCAGTTGTAAAATTTGGCGCTTTCCGGGTGTTCAACAAGACCGTTAGAAGCCAATCTATGAATGAAGCTGCGTTAGCATGAACATAATTGCCGCTAATTCTTCAGGGAGACAAGTGGTAGGAAGGGCACCAAAGCATATATGGAACGAAACTTACACAAGGCCGTAACCATTTTGCTTTTCGAATTTCGGCGGATCCTGCACTCTCTGTTGGCGACCTTGGGATCGGAAGAATCGAACCTCAATGACGCCACCCTCTTCCAGCGGGGAGATGGTGTTTACTTCTTCGGCAAAATGAAAAGCTCTTCGCTCCAAGCCACAGTTCTTCAGGGGAATGCCCTTTTCATCCTTGTAGTTATATCGATCGCTTGGATCGAAGAGGCCCTTCATAATTCGGTATCCCGCAGGCTTGCCAGCGGGAAGTCCACAAGATGTTACATCACGCCCGTTCATCAAAAGCTTGCAAAATAAATAAGGTGTGATGTCTGGTAGGCCTTCAAGAAGCTCAAGACGAAGCCAGAAGCGCATGCCTAAGTTCAAGTGATTAGAAGTGGCTACGCACAAGCTTAGGAGTCTTGCTTTACCAGGTGTAGATGGGACATAAACAGACACCGACGGTTGTCTCCCAAGCAACTTGTCCGCCTTGCTCTCTATAGGTACTGAAGGTAGAGTCGAATTGAAGACCTCCTCCCTCCTGATGAGAGGGCTTCTTTTAGTGAATTGCGACGTCTCAGGGTGGTCAATCTCAGGCAGAGCCAAACACTGCTTATGACTGATCAGCGACAGCTTGAGCCCATTCTGGGTCGGCATTGTGTATGTGGATCTATCAATGGTTTCCGTTGTCGCTATATTGTTGAAAGAATAAGGGGGGAGACGGTGTTGTTTGGGTACCTTATAACAACATTCGTTTGCGAACCGAATTTGCTAAGGTTTGCATGTCATCGCTACCGTTCTGGTTGAAACCAGGTGAATTTGTCATGTGAATACTGTGCAGACTTCACTTGGAGAGCATAGAAGAGATTGGCGATGCATCCCTGACAATGCTTATATGACAAAAGATACTCAGGACATACAATCTAACACTTCTAAGATACCTATAATTGTTTGTCAAAATCGTTTACTTTGGGCATATCAAGTCTCGCATCATAGCCAAGCAATCTGGGTGTTTAACATACCTTGTCGGGCCTAGGAGCTCACACTGCCAATACCAAGGAAGCTCTAACTTGCTATTAGACGTCCGCGAGCTTGTATCTCTTCGCACTGCGCTATCCTATCCTACCCTGTTTCCTGTCTCTTCGCCCCTAGCCAGAATATTATTGACATAGTAAGGTTGTGATTCCGTTACAGTTAAAATGCGCTGAAGATTACAGTCCTTACGCGCCAAAAGAGTACATGCATCTAACTTTCTACAACAACATGCATGTTGCTAAAGATGAAAAGAATATTGCGTGATACTAGAAAAGTACAAAGATAGCAGATATTGAACAGAACGTGGAGGATAGGAAGAACACCATTCACGAACACAGTACAAGCTCGGCTTAATTGCAGTGATCCTCGGTCTGGGTTACAAGCTTCCTTGAAGACATGGAATACAATTTTATGCTTTCATTCTTCAATACCGTGAGCACTGCGTAATGTACAGATTTCCCAGTTCCACCATGCAGCTGCTTATTTACCAAGCACGGTCTTAGTATCCTCCTCCTTGTCCAGCAACCCCAGATTCCTGATCGCTCCTGCCGGTGGTGCTTTGTCTCGAGTCGATAATGCCGCTGCTTCTGATTTTCGGTATGCTGTTTGCAATGCATGTACTCTCGATGCCTATAGCGAACGAAGGGTTAGCAGCTGTTGTGCTGGAGACTCCGGATACTGAACGCCGGAATAGATGCTCTTAGTCGGCACCAACCTCTTTCTTGTGGTGTAAGCACTCATAATAGTCCTCCAAAACCGGCGCACATTTCCGCTTTCCTGAATCGTCGTCGGAGGAGGTATTCACAACATAGCAAGCTAGGACCTCTTGCCAGAAGGGGAAGCATCGCGATTGGCCTGGGAAGGGAGATTGTCAGCCATTGAGAGGAACATTGAAGGCGTGCTGGGTTGTTCGAAGCCAGCGAGAAGTATATTACTGACCTCCACTAAGTCCATAGCCGGAAGACATCTTGTTTGCTCGATTGGCGTTCTGGGTGAGAGCTTGAACGTTCGTGGGACGTTCCGGTTGTCGATGAAGAACCCGCTAGCAGATGCAGTGATGCCTCACCAGATATCAGGCAACAACAAAAAGCTGGACAGAACAGCTATGACGGACAGCTAAACACGACAGCGACAGTTTCACTAAATGTCCATTTCTTCGAATTCTGTGGTGGATTTGTGAAATATGGCAGGACTTGATGTTTCTCCAGCTAAGGCCATACTTTTAGCAGTCCAGCTAGCCACCAAAGCGGATATACCAACCCTCCAATCCCTTATAGCACAGCATTCGAAGACTCTCCACCGAGAGCTTGTCCTGCGCATCCTCCTCAGCCATCTACCGGAAACTGTCGAATCTTTGAAATATGTCTCTTTGCTTGAAGATCTCGTTTCTGGAGGAACCACGGAAGATTCCAAATACCCAGCCAACAACCACACCTTGGCTGAAATGAGCGAAATAGAGGCACAGAAGAAAGTTCGAAAGCTACACCTACTTCATTTGAAATGGCCATATGCTCCAGAAGATGACCCCGCAGACCCCTTTGTCTGCTTTCTTGTCCTTCGAGCATTACGAATTGACGAAAGTACTGGACTGATCGCACAATTACCAGGCTTGCTTGAGCCATTCCTACATCATTCTATGTATCTTCGAACTTGGATGATATCTACCATTTTACCTCTTGTGCGGTTAAACTACGAATATCACCCGGGGATTGTGACTCTTCTTACAATTTCTGAGTTTGAGCTTTTGGACGACAAGGCTGGGGTCAATCTGCTACTCTCTAGAACCGGCAAGGAGGAGACTAAGAATGAGACAAAAAGTGTTGGGCGAGACCTACGGGGTTTGATAGGGCCATGGATGTATGGCGATAGTAGATGGAAGAGAAGAAAACTCCACAGGAACTCCGAGATTCGAAAGCAGGTGGCTATGCCCATGAACGATAGCCTGTTTGCGAACGAACGATGTGTTGGTTGGGAGGAGGTGTTTCAATGGGTCACCAAACAAGCAGCCACATCTTGGAAAACAGCTGTAGAAGCCGTGGAACAATGGGATGGCCCAGGAGATTCAGATTTTGGGAGTTATGGAGATGGTGTTATTTGGCTAGATGAAAATGACCAACAGCATCTGGAGAGAAGATATGCCCGAGCAGCAATTGCTTCGGCATATCTCATCTCTGAGGAGTCTATTGAAGCACTGAATGGTATTGACCGAATATTGTCACGGATAATCACTTTGATGGATCAGGATAGGACTCCGACCTTGCAAGCCGCGGCCGCCCTGCTTTCTCCTGTGTTCGGCCTGGGAGACGTCTTGTCTGAAAAGAATGCTTTGCATCTCCGGAACGACTTCCTTAGCGACCAGAATATCTTAACTGCCCCGAATGAAACATCTCTGCGATTACTTCACGCTTTACTGGTTTCTACATACATATGTATGAAGACTGGACATAAGCTCACGATCAGGAGGGCAGGGGAACTTGCGCTCCTCCAGAATGAGCAGGAACAGGGAATCACTCTCTCAAGATTGATGATGAATATCGTCAATGGGCCCAAAGAGGACGACAAATACTGGATTCGTGTGAGAAATGAGTTACTTTGGTTGCATAGTTGGGGTGCCGAAGAGCTTTCGGAAGGTGCAGATGCAACGAAAGGAAGGGGCATCCTTGGGAAACTTCGCCAGGACCTTATCGAGACTGAGATCCTGAAAACCCTCCTGAAGAATACCCGTCAGTCTTTGCTCGGGACTTTTTTTTTCTGGTCTCACGCTGACTCGCCTAGGATATTCTCTTGCGAAATCAATCTACGAGACAGGTCCAGATCGACCTCTGCCAAGGAAGGTTTTAGTGGAAACCATCATCTCATCAGCTATGAATGCTTACGACAATGCTACCAACGCCAACAAAACACGTGGAGGCGTAAAGCAATGTCTTGACATGTATGCCACTGCCCCCCGGGCAGAGAAGAATATGAAAGAAGTCTCGCTAACATTAATCCAGTTTGACTACATTCCATGACACGCTAAAAGAGTCTGTCGACCAAGACCAACTTTTCCATCTGGTAGATGTCACGCATTCTATAGGACGGTATCGGTTGGTATTTAAGCAGGGAGAGCCATTCAAACCTGTCAGCCTACGAGTCCATGGTGATCCAATATCAATCATCGGCAAGGTTCTTGAGCAAAACCCCAAAAGTTACGCCAAGATCAATGATTTTATTGACATGGGACAAAATATGGTAAAGGCAGGGCTCGTTGCTCGAAGTGTCTCAGGCCACACGAAACCTCTAGATGTGGATCAGACTCGGGAGCAAGAATCCATTGCGGAAAAGCGAGTGGTTAGCATGTGCATCGATGCCTCTCTTGTTGAGGATGACTTCGAAACCGCTTATTCCTATGTAACAACTCGTCTTAGGAAGATTGCTGGCCCGGCACAAGCTCGCACGCCAGAGCCTACTGATAACGAATCCGGACTTTTTGCGAAAGTACCTGCGCAAGCAATGGACGATTGGTCATGGCGCGCTGCCTTGCAAGCCGGCAAGTATCGGCGTACTGCATACACTACAAGGCCAACTCATCTTGGCAATGCGAGCGGTAATCCGGAGATTCGGCATTTGGAGCAACGCATGGAGTGTCTCGCCCAGGCTCTTCGACTTGCCCCAAAAGCAACCCTTCCAGAGATCATCAACGTCTTTCGCCGTTGTGAGGAGGAATTGGAGACACATGTCAAGCAAGAGACTGAACAAGAGGCCGCATGGGATGCACAAGGAGATGATCAAGCCATGCCTGGTGGCTTTGCAGCTACACCAATGAAGAATAATGCTGCAGCAGGTGCTTCTCGTGCCGTAGAAGAGGCTCCTCTATCTCTTTTAGATCTTTCGGTAGCAAGCGCAGCTCGGGCCCAGAGGTCCCTCGCCGCTTTGTCAGTGTTCAGAAGTACTGGTAGCGACCCCAGCAATCATAACGCTCCGCCAGCGGCTCGTGAGAGCAACGATAGCTCTAGGGTAGCCACGCCAGATTCTGCTGCCAGAAACACGACGCGGAAGAGAGATCAGCTGAAGAACGCAGCTGTTGGAGGTCTTGCTAGTGGCATTGGCTGGCTTCTTAATGCTCCACCTGTGAGGAACAATGAGGATGGCGAGGATGTGCCTCACGGCTCACCCTGACACTGTAATTAGGTCACACTCGTGTATGTCCTCATTAAACGCAGCAGGATCGTCTCACATGGTCTGACATTATCATTTGGCGCATTTGAGCGGGAGTTTGGCGTGGAGCATTTAATTATGGCGTTGTAGAATACCCTTGTGGCCGCCTATGTATTAATGATACCAACATCGTTCTCTTGAGGAAAAAAGTCTAAGTGTCTGACACAATGTGGTTCTATAAATCATTTCCCTATCCCCTTTCGGATTCATCATCTATTTCTTAGCATCCGCTGCCATCCCTCTCTGAATCCAAGCCCTAGCTTCCTCGGCCTGCCGTTCTGTCTCTTTTAGATCCTTTGCAAGCTCCTATAAAGGATGAAAATTAGTTGGATACTGCCCGACTCCTATACAGCAGAATAGCTCAAGCGCCGCCATCTACTCCTGATAGAGGATTCGGAAGGTATGTTTTAGGGCATCTTGGCTCTCTTACCTTCATTCTGTGAGGCTCTGGAACATGTCTGCCTTTCTCCACACCAGGTCGAGCAAGCATCCTGTCATCCCACGCCTTCAGCGCTGGGAATTCATTGATATCAACACCAGCCCAGAAAGCAGCAGCAATCCAGCCCCAGTGAGCTATGTCGGCGATAGTACATTTGTCACCAACTAGATAGCCCGAGGTAGATTTCTCGAGCTGGGCATTGAGCACGCCGTAGAGACGGCGAGTCTCGTTGGTGTAGCGCTTTACGCCGTATTCGACTAGGTCAAGTTAGTTTGAGATGGAGGGTTTGCGGGTTGGAAAGCTGTGGGGTGAAGATGAGACGGTTCCGAAGACGGGGCTTGTTTTCCTTTTTTTTAAAAAAATAGAACGTGATGAAGGTCAGGCACTTACTGCGTTCAGGTGCATAACGACCGAAATGATTCGCTTGTCCCTGCATTGGTCCAACACCTGCGTTGAGGAAAAACAACTATAGGTCCATTTCAGCTTCAAACCCCTTCTTACAAAGGTGCATCTGACTGACCCAATTGTTGACTTCATAGAACTCGCGCGATCCTCGTGGGTAAGAGATCTTATAGTCTTTGTCATACTGATCTACAAGATACTGCTGGATACTACCAGATTCGAAAAGATTGATTGTCTTGCCGTCATCAAATGTATCCGTGAGAGCTGGTATACGCCCGTTGGGGTTTATCTCTAGGAACCATGGCTCTTTCTGGGTGTCTTTGGAGATATCGATCTTTGTGACCTGGTACGGCAGGCCGAGTTCTTCAAGAGTGATGGATATCTTGATGCCATTGGGGGTTTGGGTTGTGTATAAGTGGATGTTTGGACGGGAAGCCATATTGGATTAGTTTGACAAGTGAATGATGCGGGTTGTTATCTATAAATTTGATGGGAGGGAGCAAGACCGAGACCATGAAAGAACGGTTCATTGTATTATTACCCCACAGTGCTTGATAATCGGGTAGGTAAGGTAATTTGGTAATCCAATTGTCATATCACGTGAAACCAAAGTTCAGTGCTTTTCTATATGAATTTACACTGTTTTACTATGATAGCTTCAAATGGTGTCAGTAATACCTCATTTTTGAGAGAGAGAAGTAAACATCCATAAACCTGCTGACCATCACGTGCCAAGGGAAGCGGTGCTGCCTAAGGTAGCCAGGCTTATCAGAAAATGCTTTACACTCATGCACCTTTCCCTTTTGGGGAAATCCATACCTAATCGTTTTTCCTCTGGAACATTTTGTTTCCTTTCCATACATTATAAACCACAGAACTGACCCTCACCGACCTTCAAGATGGCGTGGCGACAACAAGGAAGCACAGGTTCTAACAACATCCCTCTGGGAAATCGACGCAAATTTGGCGGCGACAGCGCATCTCCTCGCGACGAAGGTGGCTACAATCAAGCACAAGCAGAAGCTCCCACCTTCAAGCGCGGTCGCAGCCCTACCAGAGGTATGCATCTTCATATCCCGCATGGGATATACTCAACTAACACATTTACAGCCAAAGAGGAAACCGCCTTCGCCGAAGATGGATCACGACGCCGCAAGAAGAGAAACCGCTGGGGCGACGCGACAGAGAACAAGGCTGCTGGTCTGATGGGCCTTCCGACAGCCATCATGGCAAATATGACCAGCGAGCAGCTCGAAGCTTACACTCTCCATTTGCGTATCGAGGAGATCAGCCAGAAGCTCCGTATCGATGATGTCGTCCCAGCCGATGGTGATCGGTATGCTCACTCTTTCCAAAGCCCAACCACACAACTAATCTTCTGCAGATCACCATCTCCCCCTCCTCAGTATGACAACTTCGGTCGCCGTGTTAATACTCGAGAGTACCGTTATCGCAAGCGTCTTGAAGACGAGCGCCACAAGCTTATTGAGAAAGCCATGAAAGTCATCCCTAACTATCATCCTCCGCAGGATTATCGCCGTCCTACTAAGACACAGGAGAAAGTTTACGTGCCGGTCAATGACTACCCAGAAATTAACTTCAGTATGATTGCTAACCCTCTAACCCTTCTAACATCCACTCCTGAGCCTCTTTTCATTATCGTGTGATGGTGTGTGGCATTTGAAGAAAGTGCGCATGCACTGTCATCACTAACCTGTCACTCACTATTTGCTCTTAGCTTTTGATCATACACTAACACTAGCTTGCGCTTACTAAAGTTGGTTTACTTATTGGTCCTCGTGGCAATACTTTGAAAAAAATGGAGACAGAATCACTTGCCAAAATTGCTATCCGTGGAAAAGGATCCGTCAAGGAAGGAAAAGGTCGCTCTGATGCAGCTCACACCAGTAACCAGGAAGAGGATCTCCACTGTTTGATCATGGCCGACACTGAAGAGAAAGTCAACAAGGCCAAGAAATTGATTCACAACATCATTGAGACTGTAAGTTTCTCTCGAGCTGATGTTCTTTCAGAATCCATCTTCTGACATCTTATAGGCTGCATCCATTCCAGAAGGACAGAACGAGCTTAAGCGCAACCAACTTCGTGAGCTGGCTGCTCTCAACGGTACCCTCCGTGATGATGAGAATCAAGCTTGCCAAAACTGCGGTCAAATAGGTCATCGAAAACTAGACTGCCCTGAACAGCGGAACTTCACCGCTAACATCATCTGTCGCGTTTGTGGCAATGCTGGTCATATGGCACGTGACTGTCCTGATAGGTTAGCAAGACGGTACTACTTTGATAGAAATAGAAGGCTAATGGTTCGTAGACAACGTGGTGCTAATTGGCGTAACGATGGTCCCGGTGGTGCTCGCCCTCCAGCAGCAGGTCAAATTGGTGCTGGAGATGCTGTTGATAGAGAGTATGAGGTAAGCTTGAACCCCTCCTTGTATTATTTTAAAATACTGACAGTGTACAGCAACTCATGCAAGAACTTTCTGGTGCCCCACCCACTGGAGATGTCCCACAACGCATTGAGTCTGGCCCAGCAAATGGGTTTGAACAAGGACCTCCTGACGCCGACATCAAGCCCTGGCAACGTGGCCCTACTGGCGCAGCTGCTCCATGGCAAAAGCGCTCTGGTGATCAAGGGGGTTACGATGGACGTGACTCGGCTCCTGCCGGAGGTGCTGCCCCCTGGGCTAGAGATCGTGGCCGAGGAAGCGACAATCGTGGCGGCGATGCCTATTATGGCGGCCAATCTGGGGCTTCTGGCTCCGCAGCTCCATGGCAACAGCAACAACAACAAGCCCCTGCATTCCCTGGAGCTGCCGTTTCTGGTTATTCTGGTTATGCAGCTCCTGGTTACACTGGCGGATACCCTCCTCAGCAAGCAATGGGTGCTCCACCTGGACTTGCAGCTCCTCCTGGATTGAGCAGTGCTGGCATCAGTGCGCTCTTGCAACAGTTTGCTGGTAGCCCACCGCCACCCCCTCCAGCCTCGAGCATTCCACCACCACCATCAGAAAATGCTCCACCACCACCGCCGTCGGATCAGCCGCCCCCACCTCCACCCCCTGCGTAAAACCCCGGATTGGCCGTTCATGCAAGCTGTCCGAAGGTCAGGTTTGAAGGCTTATTTCAATCGAACGTTTCACTACTAACCTAGGACCCCAGTGCTTTGAAACCATATTCCTATTGGTAGACATGACAATTCGTTTTCAGTTCTGTTTTTGGGTGGCTTCTACTAGTCTTTGTGTCAATTAATCACGTGTACAATAGAAAAGACTTTGCCGTCATTGCTTGATAGCCTGTGATAGTGATATGTTGAATGCAGCATTTCTTATTTCTAGTTAATACGTCCACATTCCTTCCTCAATATCCTTTCACAGTTGTGCTACCGCGCCAATCAAATGGAATGCTTAAATGCATACACTTTACTGTCATGCCACAGAGGCTGGCGAGCACAAATAATCCCTGCAATGCGAAGAAGGCTCCCATGTCTCCTCTCCTCTAAAAGCCCCAGTATCCCTTGACCAAGTAAGCAGCATAGGCCGCCAATCCGGTTACCACACCAGTACTACCAAAGTAGCCAATTGGCCGTCCAACTCCATTGGTACCATACGAGCCTTGCAGCATGAGGCCACCCTCCGCATGCGCAACACGCAAAGCAAGGAAGACACCCATGGCATAATTGAGGTTCTTCCGGTTGCCGCCGTTGAGCTCGCAGAGCGCGAGGAAGATGAAAGCAAGGGGGACGTTCTCGAGGAAGTTTCCTTGGCAGCGGACTGCTGTCTGGAGGGGGTCAACACCGTCGATGCTGGACTAGAACGAACGGCTTTGTTAGATTGGAGTGGAAGTCGGGGGAGACAAGAGGGCTGAGGGCTTACGGCTTTCTCGCCGATGAATTTCCCAGTCTGCATGCGTTTGGCGACAATGCGGGAGGAGAGGACGGCGGCGTAGACGGCGAAGGGTGCAGCCCATGTACCTGTGATTGCTATGCTTTATAAGTTAAGTGTGCATGGAGATGGACGTTTGTGAGAAAGTGACCTACGAAGTAACCTGGGCATGATTGAAATCGGAGACGCCATTGTAAAGATCTTGGTTGTACAATACAGTACAGTACTTGTGGAAATGGGTTGGTGTGGTTTGGGGGAGTGTGTTCAATGAACGAGTGAATGTAAGTTGAGGGGTATTTGAGGATAGACACATAGAAAGCTAAGGGGACCTTAGTAAGTGACAGGATGATTCGCACTTTCTACGTTCATGCCGATTTAGCTTCCTTCACGCCGTACAACACGAAGTCATTTGAATAGAGGGGGAAGTCGTGGTCGTGATACTCCGGGGAACCTACTTGGGAGTTTTGAACCTACTCAAGATGTGTCTGCCACATGAGCAGGCTACCTAGGGTTTGCCTAAATACAGCCTAACTAGGTAAGGCCTGCTAGTAGTCCGCTCCAGGAGGGGAAACTACAACTGTGACTTGTAGAAACAGGTACAGGCAACCCACTGTTGAGAAGCAAAACAGCGCGATACTAGCATTCATGCCATGCTACAAGAGGCCCGAAGTCCCATGCGAGCTACAAGTGAAAACGGAGCATCCACGTCTCTTCAAGACCATACTCTTCTATTAAGAAACCGTGTTCCATAGTCTGTCAACAGCTCCCCAATACCTCTCTGCATCCACCAACATGTGCGCTGCATGGCCACTGTCCTGGTACTTCTCCATATAAACAGTGTATCCCAGCCTCTTCGCGTCTTTAGCATGTTCTTCTACATCTTGCCACGCAACCATGTCATCAGCAACGCTGTAGATATAGAGACGTGGGGTGTCGAGGTCAAGTAAAGTCTTATCATTGAGTGCTCTCCGGGCAGCCTCCACCAAATCTTCCTTGCCTAGAAGTAAATTCCCCAAGATATACAGCCCCAACAACATCCTCAGAATGGACACGCCGAGCAGGTACGCAATCATGTTCTTAGGGAGACCAAGAGAGAAAGCTCGCACGGTAGCTTCGTAGGAAGCGCGCCCAACAGTGCTGTCAAAAATCTGCACACTGACTGGCAATGGCCGCCCCGTTTTCTCGGCATATGCTTTGGAGATCAGAGTGTTCGTCACGGCACCCCCGTTGGAGAAAAAATGAACGAGCAGCTTCGCGTCTGCTGGGAGGGTATAGAGGATCTCGAGGGCTGGTTTCACGCGGTTGAGATTTGCGCTGGTTGTTCTGAAGCCGGCGTCGACAGAGCTCGTTGTGATGGCGAGAATGCGTGCACAGGGGTAGACTTTCTCATATCCAGCTGTGTATTTCGCAATATGTCGCGGCTGAGCATCCATCCCTATCGATAACTTAGTACGAGAAGAGGCTGGATTGGAGTAGGGAGGAACTGAAGAGCTCTAGAGCTGTCTCAAGACACGGGACCCCACATATAGTACTGTGAAATCTGACATAGCCCTCAGCTCCGGAGCTCACACGGAAAATATAGCTTTTTGGTATGAGAGTTTGACTTACATCCTAATATTAGGATGAGGTCTGGACCCTGAGACGTTCTAGTCTTCGCAATCGACGGCTGATGCAAGAAGACAGCTTGGTTCAAACGCGAGAAATGGCTGAGGCCAGTACCCGACTTGTTTTTCGACATTTCTGGAGACCGTATCGATTCTCTCTTTTATATGGCTGCTTGCTCCGGCTGCTTGCTCCGTATACAGTGCAACCGGGGGACCGAGGTGTTAAGTGCTGATGACTGTTTAAAGTATGTAGTAAGTACACTTGGCCTTCCTGTCCCTCTGCTATGCAATATGTTTTATGTTATATGCCATCTATAGATATGATCCTCTCAGGCATCATTTCGATAGAGTGGATGTCTCAATCGCAATCCTGTGCCGCATTCGTACAACTGCCAATCACACTTCTATTTCGGTACTCCGAGTCCGAGTACCAGCTGAGCGAGATTTCGCCAAGCGCTAGCACACACTTTACTTTGCCCTTGCCTTGTCACCAACACATTATCCTCGAGATGTTTCTTGTTCAGGTAGGAGAAAAATCCAATCCAATTCTTTCAGAAGGCCATGCAGTTGGAAACTGTATTCTCCATATATAAGGGTCCCTAGAGAACTACTAAGGAGCAAGATTTGCTGTGCCACTTCCATTCTATCTAGTCACATCATCTCTTGTTGAAAGTCTCAATTTGCATCATGCAACTACCTAATCCAACAGTGCTGGAATGGAATTGGGAGGTGTTACAAGTCTTGATAATTACGTATCAAATGCGTTATTCCAATATGGGTTTCCAGTCGTCCCTACACATTCAGACTTCTTCATATATCAATTCGGGTCCCATTTAGGCGCCGCAGTTGGTGATTTCTTTATCTTTCTTCGCACGATGCTTCCATTGTCCCCCTCCTCCCCCAAAAGAACCTCGCATAGAGGGTCTTTTGTTGTCCGAGTGGAAGCTTTGGTTTTGCATTGAGGCTACGTTGTATAATTATACAACAAAGAATATCATGTTTCGAACCGCAAACGAAGTTATTGTTGCTGCATTTGGATAGATTCGATTTAAAAACAAAGGGAAAAGTATTTCTTAAGCATGAATGGCTTTTATTCTAAAAAAGTATGCCACAACCCCACATTCAAGCGACTTGCCGCCGTGCGAGGGATCCTGGAGCCTTCATTACAAAGTCAGCTTGGTCTTTGGAGACTGAGAATATCTGTTGTCAAGCATGGCGTTATACGAGACCGCAGGGGCTATTGCAGCTAAATTCGAAAACCTCCGCAATAACCTCAAAGATGATTTCAAAGCTAGCAACAATGACACGAAAAGGCTCGAAATTATAGCCGGTGAATTCGAGAGGTCTCTTGTTGCGCAGCAGAAAGCAGAAATCAAAATACTTTCTTTACAGCAAGAATTGGATGCATTGAAATTTGCCCAACCTGGCAGCGGCTCAGTGGGAGAATTGGCCTTAAATCTGAACTCTGCAGTTGCAAAGCGAATTCAAACCTTGAAGACACTCTCGGCCGCAATTGGAAATGATAATAATGCATTCGCATCGCTGAAAATGGATATCGAAGAGGTCGATGATGCTGCTTTACAACTTCTTGCAGGCGAGCGCCAAAGGACCGTGTTCCATAGGATCCGGGCCAACAATCTTCGCGATGCCCGCGATCGTTCTGATATAGACCTAGCTCAATCACGGCAGATCATAAAGCGATTCAATAGGGACCCAGAGATGACCGACGAGAATGCGAAGCGCCTTGCAGCTGAGCTTCAAAGTCAGGTTGTCAACACAACTCGCCAGCTCATTGATCTTAGGAACATAGTTCCAGTTTCGCCAAATCCTCACGTCTTCGGCAGCGCCCTTGACTTGGTAGATTTGGATAACGATAGCATTAGGGCACCCATGGCCACTAAACTTGATTCTATCAAAGAGGAATTACGCGATGCGATTGCAGCTCTCGAACAGGCTGTTCGAAACATTCCCGCTGAACATGATACAAGAGTCACGAATAAGAGGCTTCAGAGCCGAATCAAGAGACTTGAAGCTGCCGGTCCAGACCCAGATGCAGAAGAAACGAGGAGGGAGTTAGCGGTAGCTGAATCTCAAGTCACAGATTTGCAACAGCTGATTGAAGCTATTTTGGACACCAAGGACCATCAAGACTTTGACAGGAGTTTGTTGACAGAGATCGAGACACTGAAAGAGAGGATATCAGGGCAGAAAGAGGCAATTGAAGATCTCGAAACTGGGCGAGAGGATCTCGAAGCACATATTGAGGATCTTGAATCCAAGCTCACGAAACCACAAGCAGGGGTTCCAGAGCCCACAACCCAACACAAAGCGTCGGGTGCTGCTCATGAGAACCTCAAAGACTGCGAAGCCCGGACTGAAAGTTTGCTACTGGAGATCTCACAGCTTAAAGCTACGGCCAAAGCCAAAGGGCGCGAGCTAGTAAAGACGAATCTGGACCTCGAACATTCCGAACAGGATGTCGACGACCGGCATTTGGTGATTGTTACACTGCGAAAACAGGCGGTGAAATTAAAAGATCGTATAGCGCAATTGCAGGAAGAACAGGGCAACTTACCACACAGGAACCCTAAAGACTCCCAAGTTCGCGATGAAGCTTTGGTAGAAGAACTTGGAAAGGTTAGATCCGCAGCCACGTCTAGTATGAACAAGCTCGTAGTAGCCAAGTTGAAGATTGCAAATTACGAAAAAGAGATTCGAGATTTGAAGAACCAGGGAATGAGCCTGCAACACGAGCAGATTGATGGGTTCGAAACAAGAGTGGATGCCAATTTAACCAGTGATATGGTAGAGACCCAGCGCACCATTTACGCTACCCCAGAAAGCTCAGTCAAGGCCGGGGAAAAGCGCAGGAAAACGCTAGTAAGAGCTACTACCGATTCTGATGGTGATGAGGGAACGGAACGAGAAATCGGGATCATGGCTCTGAACGGAGAGATATCAGCATGGCAGGAAAATGTGCATGAACTCGAGGACACGCAGAGAAAGCTGAAGGCGGAAATCGAACGCGCGCAAGTCCGTATCGAGGAGCTCGAGAACGTAGTTGATGTCAACGATGAGGAACTGAGCCATCTGCGGAGCGGCTACGGGGGTGATGCTGCTGATATCGCTGCTCTGAGGGCGGTAATCGCAATGCTCAAAACGCAAGGCGCTGAACTGTCACAACAACTTGAAATTTGTAAGCTTACCTACCTACCTACCTACCTACCTACCTACCTTTCACTGACTCATTCCACTTGCACTTCCAAAATCACCACCTATACTTCCAAGAAGAATGGCTCAAATCACTAACGAATATAAAACAAACAGGCCGTGCGGAAAAGGGCCGTAAGAAACCCATCAAGGGCCCGCCTAAACCAAGAGGCATAAAGCGCAAGCGTGAGGATCCGGCATTGATACAGCTACAGGTCTGGCAGCACGCTAGGTGGTTTGGCTACCACCCCACCAAGAAAGAGCATGAGTAACCGCACTAGCCGAATGTCAATGTCGGATAGTCAGCCGTCTCAGTCTCAGTCTCGGTCTGTCAATGAGGAGGGGCCCAATAATACGAGTAAAAAGGCCAAGAAGACACTGGCCAAAAAGGGACCGAGGAAAGAGTCAGAGAAAGACACAAACCAAGAGTAGGATTCGAAGAAAGGAAGACCCGGGGGAGTGGGGAATGGGTTTTGGTTTTGGAGATGGTAGAAAGGAGTTTAGATATGGGCCATTCGGTCGGTAATGATGTATTTCCCTTGTTCCAAGTAGTAGCTGAAGGAAGAGACAATTCAACTCCTAATGTAGATTCCAAGGTTTTTCTTAGTTGCCAGGATCCCCGCCCCCCGTTACTTAGCTTTGAGTGAGTCTATCTTGAGTGCGTCAAGAGACGCTTCCGACAAGGCTGCAAATATGGTAAACATTGATTAGCATTCGTAGGTGGCAAGTGAGAGGAAGTCAACATGGCTGTATATCTTGAATTAAAACTTTGCCTTGCTCACTCTAGAAGGGGCATGCGATATAACGCTTATCATTTAATAGATTATCCCATCAGCCAACTTCATCAGGGTGGAACCATCTCCCATGCCTGTATATCGAATCTGGCGGTAACTCTTGACTCTGTAATTCAAACCCAGGTCCACAAACCGCTTTCCTCCGCATGGCAAAATCATAGTATAATTTCAGCCAGATGGTTCTATCCCTGCAGTCAGTGGCTCCGAACCATTCGCTCTGCCTACATTTCGGCATATGTTTATTCAAAAGGTCCTTTGGGGCCCTCATCCAAGGTTTGGGAATTGGGTAGTCGGAGAAATGAATAAACTTTGCTTCGCTCTTCATAGAATCAGGATCCCATTTCTGCGATCTTGATCCAAGATAGGCAACGTGATTTCTTCTTCTGAATTCTCCCGAGAGTAAACTGCAAGTCAAGATCTCTCAGTCAGTATTGCCAATTATGTAGACCGGGGGTTGGAATAATGTGCTACGGGAGTTGAGACAATATCTCAAGGGTAGTAGATTCCGCTCCCGAGATGTTCGAAGTAGGAGAATTCTTCCGAGAAAGTGACTTACTTGTACGGCCTCTGGGCAATTTGCAAAACCTTCCCCTTGTATAATTTGTTGATAATATCCATATCGTACTCGTCCTTCTTCGCCTCTTGAATCGCAGCCTCGATTTTGGAGAAGGCGTCGGCGGATGGAGTAATGAGCATCATTTGACTTGAGAACTGCCAACCTTGCGGTTCTCCCCAATATACAAACGGCATCGCGAGTGGCCCTTCTGGGAGAAGGAACAGCTCATCTAGATTCTGCAGCACTACAGAATCTGAGTCAATGGCTAGTACGCGGTCGAAATCGGTGAGGTTGAAAGCTAGTAGCTTTGTATATGAATCCGCCCATGTCTTCTCCGTAGTTCCATTTTGATGTAGCACCTCAATGGGCTGCAGCTTGACAAAGTAGTCGCTGACAGCTGCTTGTAGTAAACGTGCGACAGGGGTTAGCTGCAGATCGATTTCGTCGACTTCATTGGGGTCCCAGGAGGAAGGGTACATCATTACGCGCTATTATTACGCAGTCAGTCAGCAAAGCTTCGAAGCTAGATGGGATGGCATTTCGCGAACCTGGGCCCGACTTCCTATCTCCTCGATTTCACTCCACACCATCAGCGCATTGCACAAATACTCTGGAGACGTGACATATTGAACGTAATACAGCTTCGACCAGTCAATTCTGTCGTCCTCGACCGACCGCATCGGTCTTACAGCATGGGGAGGCGCTTGGTCTTCATCGTGGTTGTGGCGTAGAATCCATCGTATTCCCAGAAAGAGGCCGAGGCATATGGCGATTACTTGAAAGCTTGGAGTCGCGGTGAGGCTCTTGAGACGACGACTGTAATAGCGGTAACCCGCCATGGGAAAGAGAACAACGAGAGCATGGACATGGACAGAGACAGAGAGACATGGCACGATGATCAGAGGTGGTGGTGATGTTATTACGGTTGAAAAGCCGCCAAGGCGCTAATACGTAGGAGGTCTTGGTCCTGGTGCCTCTATCCAGCCACCCACCAACATTACCTGCCTGCAAGGTAATAGTATAGATAGTATTACTTTTTCTGCACTCGTTCATCTTCACTTCTCATATCAAAGTCAAATATACTCGCAGTGATGAACAAACATAAATTTTCCTTCTCGCCCGCTCAATGAATATGCAGTCTATCCTAATCATACAACATACTCCCGCCACTAAAAGTATATAATGCATAATGTCTCCCGGGAAATGAGAGAGCAAACGCCATGTTCCCCAGTGCTATGCATTGAAATTCAAATTACCCAGTCCCCAGCGCCAGAAATAAATTGCTCGCTCGCTGCAGGATTTATTATGCCATAAGCACATTCTTCCAGCTGAAGCCGCCTCGTCCTGAGATGGCTATTGATGCATATTCTTTAAGAACCCGTCCAAGTTAAACTCCTCTTCGTATTGTTTATCGTCCCAGAGCTCGCCTAGATCATCTAGCCAGCCCTTCTTGCCCTTCTCTCTCACTTCCCCAGTGGCATCTACCATGTCTTCTTCGCGATCGACTTCTGTGCCGCCATTGAGTGTAGGTTTATCGAGGCCTTCGGCTGTTTCGCCAAGGTTGAAGAGGTCGAGAATTTGATCTGTTTCCATGGTTCCCAGGCCGGCGTTTTGTTGATTCACTACTGTAGATGCTACATCGATCTTGAAGCGTTGGAGTCTATGGCAAGTTAGTCAAGGAATGAGGACATGGTAGATAGAGACTTACGACATGATCTTCTCTTCCAAGGTCCCTCTGGTGATCAACCGGTACACGTTAACGACCTTCTTTTGACCGATACGATGCGCGCGGTCCATAGCTTGCAAATCCTTCTGCGGATTCCAATCATGCTCCACAAAGATAACTGTATCTGCACCAGTCAAGTTCAAACCCAAGCCTCCGACACTCGTAGTCAAGAGTAAGACATCATATGAAGGATCCGAGTTGAATTTATTGACGATATCTTGACGTTTGCTGGCATCAACGGATCCATCCATGCGGAGAAACTGGACTGAAGGAAGCATCTTCTTAAGAACATCATTCTGAACCATATCCAGCATCTCTTTCATCTGGCAGAAAATGAGTGCTCGATGAGGTGACACGTAAGAAGTTTCGGTGGTGAGATCATTTTCGGAAGATGGCTCAGTACCAATACCGCAGTCCACAAGTAGATCACGAAGAGCGGTGAGTTTTGGCGCGTGGATGGGATCGCGAAGACTGCTGTTTTGTTTTGCGAGCATTTTTTGCGTTTCCTCGTACTGCTTGTGGCCTTCTTTCATTACAAGCGCGGGAGAGTTACAGAGCTTGCGCATGTACTGCAGGGCTTGGAAGATGTGTTGCTTCGCTTCTTTGTCACCCGCCGAAGCCTTCTCCGCGAGGGTTTTCCCTTCCTTCTTCGTAAAGTCGTCAAAAAGCTTCTTCTGCAGGTCGCTGAGATCACAATAGTAGTTTTGTAAGATCTTTGGTGGCAAGTCATCAAGGACTTCTTCCTTGAGACGGCGCAACAAGAATGGCAAAACTTGCTTGTGCAGTGCCTCGATTGCAAGAGCACCAGCTTCCTGTTCTTTGGACGATGACTTGCTATAACGGCTTGCAGCGATAGGTTTGGCGAAGCGGTCGAGGAAGACCTTTTCTGCTCCCAAGAAGCCTGGCATAAGGAAGTCAAAAAGAGACCAAAGCTCCAAGACGTTGTTCTGAATTGGAGTACCCGACAGGATAAGGCGATGGTTGCTGAGAAGTCGCTTTACAGCCAGGGTAACCTTCGCTCGAGGATTCTTAATCAAGTGACCTTCATCGAGCACCAAGTAGTTCCAGTTGAGAGGGGTGAGAACATCAGCATCATTACGGCAAATGTCATAAGATGTAATGATAATATCCGTCTTGTCAAGCTGGTCCCTCAAGCGCGCACGATCAGCAGGCGGGCCAACGTACGCTGTGCAGGAAAGGAATGGTGCATATGTTTTAATCTCTTGCTGCCAATGACCAGATAAGGTTGGAGGACAGACGATGAGAGAAGGCAGTCTTCGGACATCAGTAGCTCCAGTCTTCGCAAACTCTTCCGCTCGTAAGTGATGATCACTTGCAACGATACAGAGCGTCTGCAAAGTCTTGCCGAGACCCATGTCATCACACAGAATACCGTGGAGATGATACTTGTTCAAGAAATTGAGCCAATTGACACCCTCTTGCTGATATGATCGAAGCTCTGCCTTGATTGCCACAGGAATAATGAAGGGCTCAACTTTGTGGGGATCTAGAAGTTGAGCAATGAAAGTTCGCTCGCGATCACGTCCCTTCAAGAGCTCTCGCGACAATCCGGGAGGATCTGGAATTCCTGCTTCGAGGGGGACGAGCTTGACAAGAGTTGCAAATGTTGTCGTCGCAATAAGACGAACATCGTTATCGGAATCACTCATACGACCAAGGACTGGCACGATGAGGAAGATCACATAAGGTAGAATACCATCGCCCATTACATGAATGAGATGGTAAATTGATTCAATCGCACCTTGACGGAAGTTGATGTCGACTGGATTGCTGATTGACGGTAAGACCTTCTCAACTAACATAGTCATACCTTCAATAGTGATGACTGAGCATACCGTCGCCAGGCACTTGGCGGCCATATATCTGAACACAGATAGGTCCGAATGAAGTGCCTTGATAACCAGAGGAAGTAGATTGATGACGAAGGGATGGAGATCGGTGTGTAGAGTAGGTGTCAGAGCTCTGAGTACAGACATGCCGTCTATGGCTGCTTGACCAGTCTCCTGTTCCGGATCTTTTGTATCGGCTGGCAGATCTCCAGAGAAAGCGTATCGAAGTGGATCTTCCATGATTGACTTGAGCTTTGGCACCTTCTCAAGGAGATTGGCACCGAATATACTGGACAGTTGCTCCAATGCTTCCTTAGCACCTCTCCTGATAATGCGGGCATCCTTGGCTTCTTTGGCAAACTTTGCGGCATCTGGGTGGTCTCTACGATCCTCTTCCTTGCGAAGAGATAAGATTGCACTTGTGAGACCAGCGTTTGGTGAAAACTCGGGTGTTTCGGACGTGTCAATACAACTAAACTTGGCCAAGTTTCCCACGACTTTCTGCGCTGGTCCAGTGCGGCCGCCTTCCGCAAATAGTTCGATAAGTCGGGCAACAGATGCGGCAGAACGTTGCTGTAGTTCAACATTATCTTCCCTTTTCACACTGTCCATCATTCCCTTGATTATGTGCGTGGGCCTCTTTGGGGACACCTTCAGCGAGACCAATGCGCTGGCTGCCGCACCCTTGATGCGAACATCGCGTTGCTCCTTGATTGACTTGGCATTTTCGATAACCTCGACGACACTATTGCGCGCTTCGGTCAAGGAATCAGTTGCAATCAACCGCTGACCAGGAGCAAGTGCTTTCTTAAGCCTGTCAAAGTCTTCGTTGACACATTTGTCTGCGGTTTGGATGGAGAATGCATCTGGGCCTGCTTCGGGTTCCCCTTGGACAACTACTGCAAGAGTAGGTAGTCGTCCTTGAGACACCTTACCAACATCTCGGAAGGTGTTTAAGAGCTGGGAGCATTGAGCGCGCACAAGTTGCGTGTAACTCACAAGATCTCTATAATGGAGTGGAGAATCCGTCTCGATAATCTTTGTGAGTGGCTCGACAAATCGTTTGGGTTGGTCTTTTGACGTGCAATTCTGTGCGTATTCATCGATGATTAGAGATGCAGTAAGTTGTGTTGAAGAGAACGCAGAAGACATGGCAGGAACAATGCTTGCATCGTATGCTTCAAGAACGTTGGCTGGGACAAGTGACATGATGAGACCCATTGCACGGGCTGCCGAAATACGAGACCTTATCAAAATCTCCATTCCAACTAGATCCACATCTCCTTGCATCATATGACCATCAACATCATGTGATGAGGTAGTAGGAACAGGCTCCACAGGTTTAGTAGACTTCCGACGCTGTTTCTTTGGTGGAGGTTCTGTCGATGGTGATACTGGTCGTATCGTTGTCACAACAATACCACTCGGCATGGTGTATGTGCTACCAGATGGCTTCTGAAATAGGGTTGCATTCATGGGTAGAGGATGGCGGGAGACACCAATAGGGTGGAGTGTGAGTTGCATTAGAGGATCGATGTGTGCTGAAAACTGCTCTGCCAGATCATCCGGTTCTTTGGCAAGATAAGTCACCAAGGACTTCCAAACTTGTAATGAGAGATTCAGAGTGTCCTGGTTCCGTTCAACAAGAATATTCTGGAAGATTAATCGCATGATTTTGCCATTCAACCAATCTCGAGTACCCTCGCCCTCGATATTGACGAACGTCATTAGGGCCCTTAGTACTGCTGATCTGACAGAAGTGATTGTATGGCGTAAGAATGGGTATAGTCGCGGGACTAGAAGAGCGAAAGAGCGTTCCGAGTCTTTTGCTGCATTCTTCTTCATAGCTACCAAGACTTCTGGGAAACTGCAAAGCTTGGCCAGCAAGTCCATGATCTGACCGGTACTAGCACTCAGATCATCACCAAGATTGGAAAGACATTCCCAAACAATATTGATCAGGCCATCCAATGCCTCTGGGCGAAGGTTGACGAACTCTTTAGCGATTGGGATTAAAGTTGCAGCACTGACAGAGCGAACATCATCATCCCAGTCGCCGAGACCCTTCATGACAGCTCGGATGACCCCATCTATGAGGTCGCTATCTCCGAGCAAAAGATCATTTCGGACAGCGACCAGGTAACGGAGCCCAATCATACCGCCGTGACATATAGCCCATCCGGGCTTTGTAAGCTGAAGGTCCTCTTGCATGACCATTCGATATAATATTCGATGCACGGCGTAAACACTGTTTGCAGGAAGATGAATGAGGAGAGCGCCGAGAGTCTGGCCGACTGTTTCTCTAATTGGTGCAACGACGGTATCAGAAACGTAGTCACCAAACCTGTCGAGCATGAAGACGCAGCACAATCGGCAGGCAAGGTCATCAAGCCAGCGCTGATTTAAGGCATCGTTCTCTATCCGAGTTTTCCCCCGCACTCGGCCTGCGCCTCCGCCGTGCACTCGAATGATCTCTCGTAGGCCCATAGCAGCGCCATGACGTGTTTCCCATTGGGGATCGAAGAGATCCACCATTAGGAAGTCACAGAGGCGTTCGTAGGGCCACTCTACTCCTTCGGCTTCTTCTTCAGCCTCCAGTTCAGATTTGATAGGTAGTACCGGGCCCTTAAATTCGGACACAACTTTCGAGTCTTCGTCGACGTCGCCTGTTCTCTCCACCGAAAAGTAATCCGAAACGCCATTTGGCCCAGTCGGAGGTAAATCGTCGCCGGTTATGTCGGACATAGTGACGTCTCTGTCCTCGCTTGACCCCATCGTACTGCTGCGTCGGATAGATAAATCGACGAGCCTATTTTTACTTCCAGCGTTCTGAGCCTCTCGTTTCCGTTTTCTCTTCAGTTGATTGAGTTGCCTCGCACTAAGCCCGACTTCCTCAGCAGGAGTCGCTGCTCCTTTTGAGATGCTCTTAGCGTCGGACCCGCTTGTAGAAGCTTGGGGAATTGGAGCTTCATTTGGCTTGATGAATTCAAAATCCATATCATCGTCAGAATATTCCCCTAGAAACCCCAGCCGGCCAGCGAGGGTCTTCTTCTGATGGGTAAGGCGTTGCGCAGGGTCTAGGCGGGCGAGAGCATAGTCGATCTCTTTGCCCCCACCTCTTAAGAGCTCCTTTCCATACTTCAGGACCGAAACGATATCAAGGCCGTTGAGGCTCAGTTGGCCCTCGGCAAGAGGAATCTCATCAATGTATTCCTCTTTTTTGATGGAGTCCCCATTTTCCTCTTTCTTGGGGTCCTTTTTGATTGATCCATCGCCGGAATTTGGATCGTATTTCTCAGCGTTATCTACAATTCCTCCTAACGCTTTCGACGCAGCTATTCGAGTGTCCCAGGTCTTGTGACGTAGATATGGGACAACTCTGGTGAGGAGGTTAAATAGCTCTTCAGGATGAGCCTTTTGAACATCGGCTAATTGGGTTGCGGCAGTATTGCGAATTAGTTGTGTGCTGCCCGTCTCCAGTAAGCTGTAAGTAACATGGTGTCAGCAAAGCATTGCAATGAGTTAGAGTGGGTGACGAGTGAAGCGCATCTGACGTGTCTCGGGGAAAGACAAGGGACGTTTCAGATCAAAAAGAAGGGGGGTTACGCACGTGACGAGTCGGTCAAGTCTAGATCAGGTGATGTTTGTTAGCTCATGCTCCTGTTTATGCTCATGCATGGAAGTGTGGGGCGCATTTTTAATTTGGGATGGGGGAATTTGGGTTAGGTAGGGCACTAACCTAGAAGCCATGTTCGTCGGTACGCGTGTTGTTCCTCATCCGCGTTATCTGAAGGGGAGATGTTGACGGGGACCGGGAGAAGCCATGGATATATATATATATATATATGTATGTCTTCTTTCTTTTATACAGATAATGGGTAATGGGGCAAGGGGGGAGGGGGGGAAGGCTAGACGTCGAGACTGATGCTGGTGTGAATGAATCAATACCGCACGCGTCGATATACCTCTACCACCTATTTACTGTACTGTACTGTACTGTACTGTACTGTGTACTGTAATGTACTTCCTGAAGGTGATGGTGGTGGTGGGTGACGGTGGTGACGATGACAAGAATGGAAATCCTGAAAGTTTTGGCCTGATAATTGTGGCTGCAGAAAGTTAAGTAGGCGGGCGCGGGAGGAGGTGAGATTGCGGTGGTGGCACGCGGTCGGTCGGTCTTTGGGGGGGGGCGGAGGGGATCTTGAGGAGCGATGCGGTCTATAGATATAGTTGGCCAGCGCCCTGGATTCTCGCGCTAACGAATCCCTGCCGTCGCTCTTGCCTTTTGCTGCTACCGACGGAGCCACTACCACTACTGTTGGAATGGTCGCTGTAGCTCTCGTGTAGGTCGGACGCCTGTCATCATCGAGGAAAAGGGGGCAGAGCGTCTTTCTGTCAATATTGACTTTAACTTTGTCTTTCGGCAATATTGAATTCTCGACTGTTGCCAGCAGAACAGAACATGCACGCCACGGGTTTGGGACACGTTTGGTGGCACGAGGAAGGCAACGCAACAAACAGCATTGCAGGGCTAGTTCATTCAGACCAATGACAGCCGTCGCTGCACTTTCGCGCTGTACTCCGTACCGTGGTAGCGCATGGAGGCGCCTGAGTACAATACTTACCTTACCTTACTTACCTACCTACCTACCTACCTACCACCTACCTCTGTGATTCCTACAACATAAGAAAGAGACAATTAATTTTTACTTTTAACCTGGAAGCCTTATTCAACTCTTCGTCCAGATTTTTTTCTACTACTGGCTCTTTACTCACTGGGAATCTCGGAGCATAAGCATACCATACCTACCTCAGGAAGTCCTACTATAGGACTCCTATCACATTTACTAGTTGAGGCTATACATCCTACCTGCATACCTAGGTACTTCTTCTTTACTGAATATCCCCTATCACTCAAAACGAACACTTCGTTCAGTCACAGGTTGTCATTCTTTATAGCCTTCTGGAGGATGACTTGTTGGTCAACATGAATCACCGCTTCACCTCTTCCATACAAAAAGATACCTAGTCGATGAGCATGCCACGTGATTCCTCTCATTGGTGTCTACCTACCTCCCTGATGACTTTGGCTAGTTTGGAGGATCGAATGAGTCGAGTATCCTATCAGTCCTCGGTTCTGGGGGCTGCTACTCGCTCTATGAAAATCCAGAGTCTGCTGACGTTGCACTATGCAGCCTCGTGAGTAGACATAAAACATGCCAGCAAAGACGTTGTGAGTCGAATTTTCATGACTCTGTAGTTATAGACAAATGCGACGAATAATGTCCCATGGCCAGAAAAGAACAGTTTCCAGAAATGGAATGGATGCCTTGTAATCACTAGTCTATCTTAAGGCTAGCTCGAGGCTGCTCTGTCTTGATGGGCACGTCTCCAAATGTCAAACATGCCCGCTACTTGACGTGAACTCTCTTACCTGTCATAACGCATAAAGACCTATTCGTCTTGCCCATTTCGCCTGCGATACTTCAAGAGCGCAAATCTCGCCACTCCTCTCAATGCGGTGACGAGAAATCTTAGGGTTCTAGCTTTCCTTTTCTTGCCGTCGTCTTGGCATCATGGCTTCCTACAACTCAGCGATGCCTGCGACGGCACACCGACCAGCAGTCTTTGGGGCTCCGGTTCCCATGGTTGATCCTGCGGCTCCGGCTGGTACCTTTGCGCCCGGGACCAAAATACAAGTGGGAAGCCACAAGGTGGTGATTCAGAAGTACTTCTCAGAAGGTGGCTTTGCCCATGTCTATCTGGTCAAAATGCCCAAGCCTATTGATGGGACTGATATTGCCGTCCTCAAACGAGTCGCCGTACCCGACAAAGAGAACTTGGCGAATATGCGGACGGAGGTGGAGACCATGAAGAAGTTGAAGGGGCACCGACCGATTGTCACCTACTACGATTCACACGCATCACAACTGAAGGGAGGGGGGTACGAGGTGTTCTTGCTCATGGAGTTCTGCAACGGGGGAGGTCTGATTGATTTCATGAATACTCGACTACAGAACCGCTTGACGGAACCGGAGATCCTAAAGATATTCTCAGACGTGGCAGAAGGAGTAGCTTGCATGCACTACCTCAAGCCTCCGCTCCTACATCGAGATCTAAAGGTCGAAAATGTCCTCATTACATCGACAGGAAGTTCAAAGCGATTCAAGCTTTGCGATTTTGGATCTACAGCCCCTCCACGACCCGCCGCAACTACCGCTGCTGAATGCAGACTTATCGAAGACGATGTACAAAAACACACCACGCTCCAATACAGAAGTCCAGAGATGATTGATGTCTATCGAAAACAACCTATTGACGAGAAAGCGGATATATGGGCTTTGGGTGTGCTTCTGTATAAATTGTGTTATTACACTACACCATTTGAAGCGCAAGGGCAGCTGGCGATTTTGAACGCAAGCTTCAAGTTTCCGAACTACCCCATCTTTTCCGACAAATTAAAGAAACTTATAGGTATGCCGTAAGCCTTTCTTCACGTATCAGTACTGATCCGCGCAGCGTCCATGTTGAAAGAAAATCCTAAATCACGCCCAAACATCTATCAAGTATTACGTGAATCTCTTTTAATGCAAGGATTGGAGGTCCCGATTAAAGACGTACGTCCAGTCCATGTCACATAAAATCCAAAGCTCACGATGGTAGATCTATACTGGAAGGACACAGTCAGAGTCCAGGCGCAACCAGCAATTACCATCCCCAGACTCAAATGTTGCATCACCGCCTATTGTCGGGGCTGTTTTTGCACCCCCGTCGCAGCAACAACCAGTTATTCCTGACGTTGTACCAATGCGTAGGGGGAGACCTTCTGCACAAAGTGCACAGGGACATACCCCCAAACCGAGCCCCTCTCCAATGCGGGGCACTACTAGCGACCCTTTTGCGGCATTAGATTCTAAATCACCTCCAGGGGCCGTTGATGAAATATCTGATCGATTCCCCAGTTTAGATCAATTTTCTTTGCTTCACGACGGCGGCAAATTTGATTTTGAGTCGAGCTCCCCAAGAAAGTCCGGCCACTCTCGCAAGATGAGCCAGAGAGTGACTGAGAAATTGGCTGACGATGCTTTTGCATCACCTGTTCCTAGCAAGACACCCACTGTTACCACCACTACCATAGCGGTTAAGCCAGCAGCAAATGCGGTCTCTCGAGCTCAGAAGATAATATCTAGCAATCCGGAGCTTCAGTCTGTTGCGACGTCTCCAAGTATTGTATATCAACCAACTCCCACCCGATCGAACAACTCATATGTCTCGCAAGGGACTATGACAAGTCCTACCCCCCCGCCAACTGGTCAACCGCCAGTCAAATATGGCCCTTCTCCTACCTACCGCTTCCCAAATGCGTCCGATCATCATCGATCTGCTAGCCTTCCCAGGAACCAAGAAGCCACTATGCAATCACAGCTTCTACGCCCAGAAGATAATCAATCTCTCCATCCCAATGCTCTTCCCCAGAATCCATCTCGACCCGGCCATATAAGACATCCTTCCTCCTCCCGCCCATCACTAGAAGGCGGCAGGCCAACCGATCCTCAGGATCCCATTACAAGGACGAAGTCCAGCAACTCCCGACCACGCCCTTCAAGCATATACTTAGAATCCAATATGGATTATCTCAGAGAAAAAGAGTCCAGTGGCCGGCCGTCTGGAGAAAAACGAAGCCCGTACATGAAATCCAATGAAACAGCAGTTGCAGATCAAGATTCCGATGAAGAGACCAACATTGCATCCAACGTGGACTTTCTCCGCACAATGGAAGATAATGATACAACAAAGAAGGATAGAAGGCGCAGCAGTGGTGCGAACAATAAGTCCAAGCGAAGCAGCCTACCTTCGTTATCGGGAACCAAGAACCTCCTGGCTGGGAAATTTGGAGATGCTTTTAAGAGATTCGAGAGCAATACCAACGCTGCGCCAGGACCTCGAACGCCAAGCCCTTTGCATGATCTAGAGCGGCGGGATCTTACGCCTATAGCGGGTTCTGAGGCGACTGATGGACGCAGTGACGATGGAAACGTACTTGAGGACGCGGACAGCCTGGCTCCAGAACAGAGACGCGAACTGGAACGGAGGCGACTATCCATGGAGGAGAAGCGCGTGGCTAATGCTGCCGCTGAATATCGAAAGAGGCTTGCAGACCGTGATCCATTAACAGCGCCACGCAGCATTGGTGGCGTCACACGTGCCGCCAGCATTCAAAACAAAGTCAAGAATCTTATCAACGAAAATCAGCAGACATCGCCAAAGAAGACCGCAGAAGGCTACGGGCGCTTCACTGGCAGTGCGAGCGGTCCACCAGCCAATCCTATTGAGCAACAATCCACGAATCCGTACGCGCGCCCGGTAGTCGCTCGCAAGCCTGTGGTACAAATTTCAGGATCCCAGATGATGCAAAACGAGCTTAATTACCAGAAATCCCGACCATCCTCCCCAGCAATAGTTTCCAAAACTGGCGGTCCTCGCCCCAACGCTCCTCCTAAACCTATGCACCTTAATAGCATCAGCACTGGACCACAAAACACTCCTCCAACATCATCTTCATTGCCCAATCGTCCTATACAAGCGCGGCCAGACATGACGGTGCAGGAGAAAGAAGATTACGTTGCGGATTTCAGTAAGAGGTTCCCCAGCTTATCGGGCATCGAGATGGTGGAAACACAGATAGATAGGGAGCCCAGGGGCAAGGAGATTTGATTTGATTCAATTGGTTAGACTTGTGATGATTGGTGAGCGGAACGGAAATAAGGCAAGACAGACAATGTATATCTAGACATATAGACTTTGGGTTGGTTTATGAGAGTATCTTTGACTGGCTTTGAGCGTCACATTCTTACCCCTGTCCCTATGCGTCTGGATGATTAAATTTATGTGTCTGGGATGTATCTACTGTATCTGTCTGCCCTTGCCTACTCCCCTGTCCATTACTTACTTGCTTAAGCTTACTTCATCGCCTAGGTAGGTAGCTCCAATGCTTTAAAAGTCGATAGATATCGGAGGGCGTTTATGGAGTAATGTATACGTATATATAATATACTATACTATACTATCCTACCTAAGTGGGTATAGAGAGAATAATGAATGGTCTTGGATGCGCAGCTTGGAGAAAGGAAGGGAAAGGAAGGGAAGGAGGGAAAGGAAGCTGTGATGAAAATAAGGAGATTGGTTTATTACGGTAATCTACTTGATGGAATAGATTAGCACAGCACAGCACAGCTAGCTTTCGCTTTCGTGCGAGAACTCTCTCATTCATATTCTCTAAACCAGCCCCCCCCCATACCACCCAACTCCCCC